AAAGGCTGGAAATCACACCATTTGACTGACCCACATCCTCTCTAATGGTGTGTCTCCTGGGAAGACCCCTGGTGAGGAGGACTCGGTGAGCGGGCAGGGCCAGCCCCAGCTGGAGGAGGCGGGGGGGGGCTCCTTTGGTTCCCACAGTTGAAGTGACCGGCCAGGCCTCACCCTGAACAGTGCCGCCTTCCCCAGGGCCAGCTCAGGCTGAAGGACAGGGGGAGATGAGGCTGGACAGGGGGGACCCTGAGGGAGCTAGCTCTGTGTCCCCAGGGCGGGGTTACCACAGCGCCAGACTCCCGGACTCACTACCCTCAGACCTGCACCTTTCTGGGCGGCTCCTCTGCCGAGCTGGAATCTGACCGAGATGGCCACTCCGCCCTGGGGCCACTCAGTCCACCTCACCCTCCTCCCACCTGCCGGCACCTCCTCCCTCTGCAGACTCCCCACCCCCATCCCTGTCATCCTTTTCTGGGGGCAGCTTGACCAATCATTGTTTTCCCCTCCAGGTCTTGGTCACAAGGGCTCTCAAGGCCGCATTTTCAGTCTCCCAGCCCCCATCTCCCCTCCCCCGCCCCATCCCCACCACTAAGCAAACACTAGGGCTGGCATGTCAACACAGCCTTCATCTGGCTGGCCTCTCTTTAACTCTCACCCTTCACCTTTGCCTTTCCACCTCATCCTTTTAACTTTTAAGAAAATCTTATGTTACGTGTATTTCTGGTAAACAACCATATATAATTTTGGAACAGAGAGGCGATATATGTTAATGAATAATATTACCTGCTCTCTCCTTTGTGTTGAATTATCCTTTCCTCTCCTTGCCAGTAGGCACTTGGGGTCTGAGAAGCAGGAGGTACTGAAAGGGAGGGGCTGGGTATGCTTCTAGTACCTGTGTCCTCGCACCCAGGTTGATCACCGCTACCTAGAGACTGCCCCCCAAACTTCTTGGCTTCAAACAGCCACCATTCTGTTTGCTCCTGACTCTTCCAACCTGGCTGAGCTCTCTGTGCAGTTTCCCAGCTGGTCTTGCTGGTGACCACCTGGGCAGATTCACTCAACTAGAAGCTGAGGCCTCCCGCTCCTTTCCCACATGCCTCGCCACTTGGTCACCTGTCTCACCTGAGGGTTTCAGCCCTGGGCAAGTCCACTCTGGATCTGGTAGGACTGAAAAATGACAACGGACTGTCCTTGGGGTAAGAGGGTTTATACCCAACCTAATTCTCATGGAAGCAGGTTAAGTGCTAGAATCCTGTCCACCTCTGGACAAGTCTGCATGCAGCAAGTTGGCCTCTGCCTCTGGGCCTCTCTACCAGCCTCGCAGCCCCAGAGCCCTGGGCAGAGCTCTTTATATAGAGTCAGTAATAACTTACTGCCCACACATGTGCAAGCCTGAGCCTGTGAGCACTGCACAAGCCACTGCTTGTAGGCAAGCAGACCAGGGTCAGGTGAGAATCCTTCCATTTTCTGTACCTCACCCAACATGATCACACCAGCAGAGGAACCTAGAACCAAGCGTGCCCAACAGTTAAAAAGCAGAAGCTCCTAGGCTTCCTTAAGGCTTCAGCTCGGACTGGCACAGCATCCCCTGTGCCACATTCTGTAGGTAAAGAGTTGCAGGGCCCACACTACACACAGAGGCAACATTTCTTGGAGGCCACCAAATTAACAGGCCATAACAACAAACAGGGGAAACATTGGAAACAGCACATGAAAAACTGTAACAGTGGTAATTTCAGGTAGTGGGAACATGGGTACTTTGTACTTTTATATTTTTACATTTGAAAAAAAAAGAAAGAAATGGTGGGAAATAAAGGGAGACTGAGAGGGAGCCTGAAGTTCTCCTTTCTGCGCAGAGCTGTCCCAGGCAGCTGTCACAGCAGGTCCCCTGGATCCCCAGGGAGTTAGGGGCTTATAGCCTTTCTGGGTCCTCATGTGGGAGGGGGCAGTGAAGCTGTCCCTCATGCCAGGGCCTATCACTCTGGCAAATGGGCTGAGCCTCACATTTACAACAGGTGTGACTTTTAGACTTGAGAAGTGTGTGAATGAGGTTACATGGTGGCCAATGCATCCTCTGTCAGGAGTGAAAGATGATGCTTATCACCCTTAGTGTTTTCCATTTATTCTGTGGTCCCTTGTGGCTCAAAGGGTGTCAATGAACCAGCACATTAGCACAACCTGTGAGCTATTAGAAATGTAGAATCTAACCTGCTGAATCAGAAGGTGCATTTTAACATAATCCCTAGATTATTCCTATGCACATCAATGTTTGAGAAGCCTGATCAGATCCATTTTTAAAGACATGATTACACTATGCTGAATGAATTTTTTCCTTTTGGTGGTGGTAGTGAGGTAAGTCTTGTTTAATGCAAGCAGTTAAAACATCATTGTCCAATCAAAATGTCTTATATCTGCATTGCCCAGAATGATAGCCATTAGCTACACGTAGCTACAGAGCACTTGAAATTGGCTAGTAAGATAGAAGAACTGAACTTTTTTTATTAAAGTATCATTGATATACATACAATCTTATGAAGGTTTCATATGAACATTGTGGTTTCAACATTCATCCATATTATCAAGTCCTTACCGGCACCCCCCACGACATTGCAGTCACTGTCCATCAGCGCAGTAAGATGCTATGGAGTCATTACTTGTCTTCTCTGTGCTATACTGCCTTCCCCGTGACCTGCCTATATTGTGTGTGCTAATTATAGTGCCCTTCATCCCCTTCTCCCTCCCTCCAAACCCACCCTCCCCAGCAGCCCCTTTCCTTTGGTGACTGCTAGTCCCTAGAAGAACTGAATTTTAAGTTTCATTTTAATTTAAATTTGATTTAAATTGCCATAGGTGGCTAGTGGTTATCATATTAGCATGAATTTCAGATCCACTTCATTTTTAGAAGCCTACAAACCTAGAAAATTGCAGCCTGGCTCCCTTCTCTATCTCCAAGAGGATTTGCACAGCTCTGAACTCATTTTTACAGTGTGACATTGTGATATAAAAGAAATACAATTTTTGGTCTTTGGCCTGGTTCCTGACATAGAGCTCCTAAATCCCTTAGAATTTCCTGGGTGGTAGTGTCTTTTGTTCTAGTGAAGCAACTCTTGGTGGGCTCCTGGATGGCTTCAGGAAGGGGGCTGGTCACCTGCTATAAGCATGGAAATTTCATCTCCACCTCTTCATCCTCTGGAAAGGGAAAAGGGGCTAGAGATTGAGTTAATCATCAATCATGCCTAAATGATGAAGGCTTCATAAAAATTCCTGCAGTACATGGTTGGGAGAGCTTCTGGGCTGATAAACTCATCCAGGCACAGGAGGAATGGTGCACCCCAGCTCCACAGGGACAGAAACTCAGGACCCCTATGTATCTGTTCATCTGTATTCTTTATTATGTAATAAACTGGTAAATGTGTTTCCTTGAGTTTTGTGAGCCATTATAGCAAATTATCAAACCTGGGGAGGGGTTCCTGGGAACCCCAATTGGTAGCCCAGTCAGAACTGTGGGTAACTGGGGACCCACTACTTGCAGCTGGCATCTGAGGTGGGTGGGCAGTCTTGAGGGACTGAGCCCTTAACCTGTACGACCTGATGCGACCTCCAGGTAGGTAGCATCAGAACTGAACTGAATTGTAGGACACCCAGCTGGTATTGGAGACTTGGTCAGTGTGGAAAAACTCCACACAGCTGATGTCAGATGTCTCAGGTGAGTAGAGGAAGAAACAAAAGGTTTCCTTCCACAGATGAGGCAGGCAAGCTGGTGCCTCTGAGGTTCCTGGAGCTCCAATGGAGGGCAGGGTGGCAGGCACCGTGGGTAAGCTCGGCCTCCTGGGGAATGGGTGGTGCCCTGAGGCACCTGCGGGCCTCAACAGCTTCCTCAGGCAAGCTGATGCCCACATCCCAAGGGAAAGGCCAGGGGCCCCTCTGGGGCTCAGCTGCTTAAGGAAGCTCCTACTTCTTCATTCCCCTTATTTGAGGCTGTGGGGATTTTCTGGGGCTGAGGAGCTGGAGGCAGAGGCTGGTAAGGATCCCTGGGTGTAAAGCATCTCCCCTCCCCAACCCCTCTGCCAGCACACTGACCAAAGTGATCGCAGCCTCTAGGAATCTCAACTCCCTGTAATTAATACAGGGATATCAGAAATACTTCTTCATGGGTGAAATAAGCCCAAAATATGTGACTGACCAGAAACATTATCTAGGTACCTCGGCCCCACTAAAGTGGGGCCTAGGAATTAGGCAAGCCCAGCCATCTAAGACCTTCAGAAGGTTTGAGTCTGGAACTCCTACAGGAGCTGCGGCTCATCCCTCTCCCCAACCTGCACACACTTGGCAGAGAATCCCCACGTGACCCCTTTCTCAGTGTGACCCTACTGTCCCCACACCCTCACATTCCCCCAAGTAAATCAAAGAGAGTGAGGAGACACTTTGCCGAGCTGGAGGTGGCATGAATCTTTTCTGCATGCTCACTAGCCAGTTTTGTGCTTGGGGTTTGAGATTTGCTCTCACCGCACACCACCTGACAGCCAGCCTGCAGGGAGAGAGGTCTACAGCCTTCCCCGACCTCTGACAGTGGTGACTAGGGAGTCACCAAGAATCTGACATGTTGGCTTATGTCTGTTTCCAGTACCACAGAGAGAGGTCCCAGGCTTGGAAGGATGCATTAGAGTTCAAGTGAACATGAGTCTTGGAGGAAGAGAGGCAGCCTTAGAAGGTGACTTGGACACCAAGGGCTAGTGTGTGGACCGATTCTACTGTACTTAGTAATTTTACTGTGTTCCCTCCCAAACACCAGGAGGAGTCACAGCTGAAGACTTTATGAAAGAAAGAGTTGGGAGAAACCCAGGTGATGGGGGAACTCATGAGAGCCTTTGGTAATATTTATTGCAGTGGTGCAGTGCGACAGCAGCGGCCTCAGCGACATTTCACAGCCCTCTAATACGGGCTTCTGCCCAGTGCATTTCCCTATCTTACCCCTTTCATACTGTTTTGCTTTACTTCAGACACCATGGATACCAAAATGCACCATTTTTCCAAGGCTTATGCTTCATCCAGATGGTCAATGCCTTACGGATTTACAGTTTGGAGTCTCTCAATTGCAGCCCAGAGGCACTCATGGTTTTCATTGCAGGACTCCGTATTTTCAGGTTATGGAAAAGGTACAGAGATGTAAGTCACATACTGCAATTTTGTGTAAGGGGATCTTACAGTTTTGGGAGGTTTGCTGTTCGCAGAGGTGCCTGGGGTGGAGTTGCTTCCTGCCAATCATGTCAGCTCTTGCCAGCTCCAACTTGGAGCAGCTTCTCCCGTGACAGAAACACCAAAACTCACCAGGGGAAGGTGTTAGCATGCAGATTTCTGGGCCAGATATAGATCTCCAGAGAGAAAGTATGCATTTTAATAAGCTAGATGCCAAAACCTGTACTTTAATAGGCCAGGGCTAAGTAATCTAAATTTGACTTTCAATTGAGAAATAGAATATATTCAACTGAATGGAAATACTACCCAGGTTAGGAAATAAAGCACTGGTGGTCCTTGGAAGCCCCCTGAAGTGCCTCTCTCATCGAATGTGTTCTCCCCAGCCCCCTTACCTCTAGCTAAGGCACACCCCTGACTTTTGAGATAATCAATCTCCTGCTTGTCACTATAGATCGTCATTTATAAATGCATCCTAGTATATATTATTCTGCCTAGTTAAAAATCATATAGAAATGTAATCATCTTTACTATATCATGCCTTGCAGCTTTCACTCTGCATCATAGTTTTACGGTTCCCGCATGTTGTTGCACCTAACAGTAATCTGTCCCTTTTTATTCCATGTTGTGAAGATAACACAGCTGATCTAATCTGTTGTTCATGGACATCTCTTCCAGCCCAGCGCTGAGAAAAGTTTCACACGTTTTATCAACAGGCTAATTTTGTTGAGGAGGGAACAGTGGACCAAAGAAGTCAAGTGATCTAAGAGCCCAGTCCAGGAGTTAGCTTGAGTTTGAAACCTGCTTCCACCATCAGAGGGATCACCGTGTGAGTTTAATCTCTGTGCCTTGGTTCTATAAAATGATACTCTATTCACACCTGTAAAATGAGAATAACAGTTCCTCTTTCAGTGCTGTGATAATTCAGTAAAATAAGTATGTGTAAAGTAGCTAACATTTCATCTGCCCAAATATTTCCAGTTCAGCTCTGGAACTTCCATGTTCATATTCTTTGTAGTTTGAATTTCCCATACGCATAAGATCCAGTAGTTAACACAAACCTTTGCCCAACAGCTCTTAAGCTTCAGCCTCAGGCCCTGCAGTTCAATAAATATGAACCTAGGAGGCAACGAACCAGGTGAGGCCTCACTGCAAAGACACAGCTGAGGATAGTTCTTGAGCTCCCTTGAGCACCTGGCTCAGCCACCCAAGTGGACATTACCTGACCTCTCAATGCCCCCCACAAAATGGGCACAGCCAGGACACAGGAGGCAGGGGGATGGCATGGGACTCCGTCAGGTGATCTCGGTCCTCATTCCACCCCCACCCCAGCCACCATTAAAGGGGCTAGTCTGTGTCTCTCTGGGCTGTAGCGTCCTCATCAGTACAATAGGGGAGGAGAGGGCTTGGACAGGAACCCCAAGATCTTTCTCAGTGAACTTCCTGACACTTGAGACTTTTGGCTAAAGTTGCTAAGCTGCTGGGGAAATCGGCCTGGGAGTTATTCTCTGGCATACTTGCCTCCTTGGGAGAAATGCCCCAGGAGAGGCCTGGACTTGGTGGGGTCAGTTTTTGGCCTGGCTGCAGGGAAAGTAGTCCATGGGCCCGCAGGGTTGCCGTGGATCTGCTCTGCCCCAGATGAGCCCTGTTGGGAATGGCTGAATGCCTGTCCCCTGAAGTTCATGCCAATTAACTAACACTCGCATTCAGCAGGCAATCCCTTCTAAAACTACATGACTTCCAAGAAGCTGGATAACATTGACTCTGTTCTGATTTCCACATCGAAGGTCACTCTGGCCCCAGCTCCATGAAGAGGTCTTTAGCCCCCCTAGCCTGTCCTTTCTTTCCTCCTTCCTCGGGTCTCACAACTAGCCGTCTTCCTGGTGAGCTGGAAAGCTGAGAGCAAGGGGCTGTGGTCGTTGGTGCCACCAGCCACACTGGCCCGGGCCCAGCTTAGATAATATCCCCATCACCCTCAACACCCCCTCACTTCCTCTCGGATGGTTATGTGAAGCATCTGGGAAGTTGACAGCTGCTGCCTTCCACCCCCAGGGGGGTGGTGAGGTAATCCCCATACATAGTCTGGCAAGTGCCTCGGGTGAACAGGGCTCTGTGCCGAGGAGAGTACGTTACTGTATTTCTTGGGACTTCCAGGAGCACTTCACTGATGTCCTGGCACCACAGACAGATGAAAAGTTAACTGGGATTTCTTGCCTCCACAAAAGCATCTTTCATCCCACAACCGACTCCAGATTGGAGGGAAGATTTCACTATACAGCGGCGAGACAAGGGGCTCTGTTGAAATCCTTGCCCATTTCTGAGCATTCCTACTGTGATCCTGAAGCCTCGGGGGACAGGCACAGGAATCTGACAATAGGAACACTAATACGTTTAGGGATAGAGAAACAGGACAACACCTAGACAGGACTGGGGCTGGCCCTGGAGGAGCAGGCACCATCGCGGGGCTGACAGGTGCTCTGTGATGCTGACCCACTGGTGACTCTCAAAGGGGAGTAGGCACGCACGGGAGAGGCAGCTCCAGTCCAGCTGCTAGCAGGAAGGAGGGCAGGGTCATCCTGACTGAGTCTGCCTGAGTGCAGGCACTCGACCCTGTGAGGGGAAACAACTCAGTGAGCCGTGTCGGCAGCTGTGGAGCACCTTTCCATCCACCCTTCCACCTCCTGCAGCCCCTGCCCACCCCTGCCCTCCCTGAGATCTGGTCACGTGCTCTGGAGGTGAAGGACCAAGAGAACAATGCTTCTTGCCACTGAACTTCTCAGAAGGCAGCAACAGTCAGGACGAATTCAGTGCTGTGTTTTTACCTCTAATAAAGTCAAAATGGCTGGTGCCCACAATTCCAGCCTCATCCCTGGGGAAGGGAACCAAATCCAGAGGGAGTGTCTGGGGAGGGCACAATATCCAGGATGGCCTTTTGTTCTTTTTTGACTTTGAGTTTCTATTATATAAATATTACCTTTCAAAAAAAAATCATGTTAGTACAAAACCCAGAATACAAATGAACAAAATAACCACTCTCTCCAGATATACTAGTTCTTCTGTATCCTTCAGGATTGGTAGGTAGATCTATGCTCTTCTCTGACCCCAGGTTGCTTTCTCCCCTGAAATGTTACACATGGTAAAGTTACATCATACAGTGTTTTAAGTTTTGTAAATTTAACTACTTGTGCCAGGGTCATTCCACCACCAAGTGTATGCCTGAGGATAAGTATGAGTGGGAAGAAAAGTGGTAGAAGGTTTCTCTTCTCTCATGTGATTCCTGTGTTTAAAGAAATATGTTTCCTGTAAGTCCGTAAATTCAAGACAAGTACTTCATCTAGGGCTCAAATAAGGAAATGGTGCTCTGTTCCAAAGCTGAGGGGCACGAAATGTGCTGACTGCTAAGAAAGTGCACGTGGGCTCCAATATGACACCATCCCAAGGTGTCTAAGAGTAATCTGGACCACACGCGTGGTCATCTAAGCTCAACTTGGGACCCAGCCCCTAGTGAGACGGTTCTACTGGTCATACACTGCTCATATCTTTTTCCATTTAGTGTACCTTGATGTTGTTCCAAAACAGTATTCCAAGATCTGTCTTATTCTCTAAGTGCTTACCAAAAGCTGTTTCACAACATAAATGTATGGGATATTCTCTGGAAAGAGTTCCAATTTCATATCACAAAGGAAAGAGAAATGCCACCATTAAAAAAGACACAAACTAAGAACAAATTTACAAACCAAGACTGTAAAATTTTATTCATTTCCAGATCATGAGTATTATACAGCATATACACATATTTAGATGACATATAAAACAAAGAGCAAACTATAGGAAGAAATATTGGTCTGAAACTGCCTTATGAGACATCTTCAATTCTGAAAGTTCAGGGTAAACGTGTCTCCCCACACGCTGGGGCAGGCAGCAGGATAAACTCCAGCACTCACACATCAAAGGGCACTTAGCCCCCATTGTACCTACAATGCGACTGTGGCATGGTCACCGGTGTCCATGAAAAGGGACCACATAGTAGATAAAAGCAGCACAGCACAGCAAACTAACATAAATATTTATTTTTTGCATTGTCCTCCAGATAATTTCCTTTTAAAACTAAGAGTCAGGCCCAGGGTCTATCCCTTGAGTTGCACTCCAGTTATTGCTAGAGGGAGGGAAAAAAAACAAACAGAAAAGAGGCATCAGTTTAAGTTATTAGAAAACAGATGTCAGGGCCACGGGGAAATGCATACGTGTCAGCAGCAGGAAGGCATGTAAGCACCCAGCACTGCGGCAGAGGGGACTGATTAGCTGATGGTAATTTGGGGCTGACAGAGATGGAAGACACTCAAGGAAGGCCTGTGAGCAGGAAGCAGCAGGATGCCCTCAGAAGGGGGCAGATGAAAAGGCACTCCCTACTCCATATCCACACAGACAGGTTCTGCAGCTGAACTCTCAGAACAGAACACTTTCCAGCGACGCCACTTCCCCACCTCACTGTCTGAGGAAGGCCAGCTTACCTTTGCCTTGTTCTGAACTGGAAGATACAGTTTGAACTCTGCTGGCAGTTCATCTTCTGAGTAGAGTCGGTCTGAGAAGTAAACCCGTCGGATGCGACAGTTTGCGTGGATCTGTGGGTGCAAGACTTATTTTAGGAGGCAAAACATGATTGTTTTTCCTCTCTTCCTAGAGACCCTTCTCACAATGCTATCAAAGCTTCATCTCTTTGGAAAATCCTTGGCTTAGCTTAGGGGTATTTTCTGGCAAGAGGGAGATTTTGCTTCTTATATTCTCCCACCATATCTGAGCAGACTCCTGAATATGTCCTGAACCAATTTGAGGCCAAAACCCCCTGGACAGTGACTTGGGAACTTCAGCCAGAAATCCACACTGTCCCATCACATGGGCCACAAGCCAGTAACAGGCAAAGCACATCTTCCTCCCATCTGGAAAGGAGCCAGTACCTGCACTCTTAGGGTCTCAATGTAATTTGTGCCGTATGCCCGCCGAGTGAAGTCTGAAAGGTTGAACTGAATCTGGTTCCAGCCATCGTCCAGCCGCATGGGCATGGTGCAGATGAACGGCTTCACCCGGGTGGTGCTCTGGTAGTTGCTTGCCCGAAACCGCCGACGCACATTTTTGTCATCTAGTACCTATGAAATATAAAAAAAGAGTCACATTAACTCCATCTTGGAAGAAGCAAGCAACCTTGGGAAAACAAAGATCCGAATTCCCACAGCCCTGTTTCCCAAGGCTGAGACCCAAGGGAGAATAAACAGACCAGATACATCGGATGCAGATGGCCCGGAAGTAGCAAGTTTATGTCGTCTGTTGCCAAGACAAAACCAACTGCTTATGACATAAGACACACTCTATGGTCAAGCTCTCAGACCATAGAATGATTTCATAAACATTCTTCCATTTGAAAAATCAAAAATAAATACTAGAATAGAGACCAACAATAACCCAGTATCAAATAGTTACTCCCCAAAGGGACCCTATTCTCACTCTCAAGCTTTGAAATCTGGTGCCAACTGATTATTTTCTAGATGCTCATGGCTCCTTTAAAAACTTGGCATTCAATTTTGATTACTAGAACCAAATTTGTATCATAATACTATTGGCTGCATTAAGTATACAGCAGAGACAGGGAAGAATATATACAGAAGGATAAACTTGCCTAGGGCTACCTTTCTCCTCTAAGTTGACAGGATACCTCTTTGGTAAAACTAAGGGCATACAAATTCATAAGCACATATTTACCTGTACCTCGAAGGTAAAATATTTCTTCAGGTTTTTGATAATCATGACAAGGAAGGGAAGTTTAATTCCCAATGTCTTCTTTGGGTCTGCAGGACATGTGATATATGTAGTGCTGTAGAGAGAGGAAATACCAATAAACACAATACCTATTTTTTCCTTTGTGGTGTAAACAGCAAACGCACTTAATCCAAGAGGCTACACTGGAAGGCAGATCTAAAAGATCCAGATACATCATCCAATGATTCCCTCAACTCTTAAGTCAGCTGATGCTTTACAAAATGCTGGACTTGGAAACAAAGCCATACCAGTTGCTCTGGGAAAGTTCCTTCAGTGAAAGAAGATTCAATTGTGATCCAAGAGAACCACCAAAGGACAGAAAACCAAAACTAAGAGCACTGTGGGACTGAAACCACACTGGCCACCCACTGGATGATCCGCGCAACACCGACTCCCCCCACCTTAATTAAATATTAATCATAATAGCTAATATTTACATAGCACTTACTATGTGCTAAGCAGGTTTTAAAGTGTTCTTTCTATACACATTCACTTGCTTAATCTTCACCATGACCCCGCCCAGCCCATGTACCGTTATTATCGCTACTTTATAGATGAGGAAGCCAAGGCTTCGGGGAGCACGTCAGTTGCCCAGGGTAAGCGCTGAGGAGCACAACGGGATGCACACCTGGCAGGCTGACTGTGTCTGTGCTAGTCACCTTCTGCGGTGACCAGTGCTGCCCTGGCAGAGAGTATCTTTGGGGGGACAGAGCGGCAACTTACCTGACATTTGTCCCTTCAATCTCTAGCACCAGGGACTGAATATCATTATCAGTGATTCTTTTGATGTGGCCATTCCGCACCTACAAGGAAGAAAATTGAACTGGTTAGTACTGAAATACTTGGCAACAACTTTATCAAGATTTTGGAGGCTGAATGGGACCATTTAAAGAAAACCAAACCCACAAGTTTATCATAGCTGTGACAGCATGTTGAAGCTATAGGTAAGTGAGCCACGCCATTCCCTCTGTACACGGTCCCATCAGCCACCACAGGAATTGCAGGTAGCTGGGCAATCTGTAAAGCAGGATAGATTTCTTCCCAAAGAAATCAACTGAATTCAGATTCAGCTAACATTTACTGGGTGCCTGCTATGCACTAGGAACATGCATTCTCTCACTTAATCCTAACTACAACAGAAATCACAAGGTAGGCGGTAAAAAAATGTTTCCACTTTACAGATGTGGGCATTGACCCCTGGGGAGTACCAATGACAAATCCCAAGAGAGTCAGGATTAACCATCAGCTTCCCACTGCTCCCTACTTCTCTGACCAGAAAGGCCAAACGCTGAGTACCACTGAAAAGGAGGCTGGCAGTGAAAAATGAAAGCATACTCCTCCAGCCTTACTCCTACTTCATCTCCCTTCTTTCCCCTAAGTTTCCACTTTCACAAGTACAAATTCAAGTCCCACCTGTGCCACACACAGACGCCTTCTTTAACATTTTCAGCTCACACTGGTCTCTCTTCTCTCTGATGTTTTTCTGGTTCATGTAGCCTAGACTACATAATTTAGTCCTTCATCCTACATTTGTTCTCTATTGTTCATTACATACGTAAAGAGGTATATGATGGGGAAGAATTCAATATGGATATGCGCTCTCAAAATATTTAGGAAAGCATGATTATCTTCAAATGTTAAACTCTTAAGCACCTAATGTGGACAGAGTAGAGATATGCAAAGCACTTTTGAGGCACGGCTGGACTGTTGAAAAAGATCAACCAGGCTGAGGACAGAATGCATCAGAGAGACAAGCATGTGGTCTTTTCCTATAACAAGAATAGTGAAAATGGCTACATTGAGCTGCTGTAGTCAAGGACTCAACCATTTGGCTTGCCATTAGATTTGCATACAGGGAGAGAACACAGTGTCAAGCCTGTCTGGTAGCTGTATTTTCCCAACATAGATTATTAACAATATGGCATTCTGTTTTCAGACACCAGTCTCTGTGAGCTGTTGCTGTGACTGATCCACTTGTAGTATGCTTGGCGTTCCCCAGGTGACACCTGACAATACCGCCCATCCTTTTCTGCAAGATGCGACTGAGCCTGTCTCCTCAAAAACCCAAGTGTAGGTAGGGATGTAGTATTAAGCATCATTTGTATCTTCTACAATGCTTAATACTATGCTGGCATGAACTAAGCATTCAAATATTTGCTGACTCCTGGAACTTGTCACCCTAGGGGTTGGCACATATGAATAGATTCAAGAGGATTTTTTAAAAATTCCTGGATAACGTGTCCAGCTATTACAGGACACTAGAGATCCTGGGGTAAGTCACAAAGCCAGTGAGCCTGCCAGCATGAAGAATGCTTTCCCACAAATCATCCTTTGGTACCCATTATCAGAGACAGAATGCTGGGTGGATGGGTCCTAGATCACTACCAGTATAGCATTTCTTAGGTTCTCAAGACACAAGCGTCACATTGAAGCACTTCTCAAACAAAGCTGGCGACACCCAACGCCTCCTACTTTGGATCCTGGGCCTCTTTCCAAGGGAGATTAAGAGCACAAAGGCTTGGGTTGCAGCACATGCCAACACTGCCCACCTCATTCCCCATATAAACGCTCTCAACCAAAGTGGCAGTGTTCCTTCTCTATTTGCTAGTCCACAGCTGCTGTGCAAAATAGGCAGACCTGTTAGTGAAGGAGGAATTAGTCAAGAAATTATTTCCAAATAACGTGATACAGTCACAGTGATAAGAGCTGGCAGTATTCCACCAAGATGCAAACACTAATTTTATGACATACTACTAATTATTTTCTGTAAGTTCATTCTTCCTTAAAAAGGTACATAAGGAAACAGTCAAACAGATGGTTACTGTTGAAAAGATTAAGTAAATAGGGCCTAAGGACTACTATTGCTAGAAGACAACTTGCAATTTATCCAACACTGTTTGAAAGCAGGACCTCCAGAAGCCTGCACCCCCAAGGCCTCTCAGAGCAGCGTCACCAAGGAGCCTCACCCACGAAGCCCAGCCAGATTCCACAGGGAGAAATGTTAGAAAACTTGCCTTCTGCCCATCTCAGAGTTTAGAGCAGATGACTTCACTCCAGCAAATGTGTCCTTTCAGGCCTTTAAAGAGAAAGCAATGCCTTACACTGCACACAGAAGCCAAGAGAGCAGAGAGCAGCCAAAGCAGGCCGGGTGTGTCCTGACGCTTTGGCCCCACAGGCAAGCTGACTTGCAGCTGGACTTGCCATACTTCCTGAAGAGAAATTTCTTTCAGCAACACATCAACAACCATACTCACAAACTGACTTCTTACCAACTAAAGGCCCTTAAAACAAGAGAACTCAGAGGAAAAAAGGAAGCTTTTTCAAAGGAGTGCCCACAAGTCCTTCCAGAGTTTTAACCTGGCTGGTGGTGAGACAAGCTAAACAGGACTTTGCCAGGGGACATAGCTCACACCTCAAGGAAGAAAAACACGAGTAATCTTGTATCACAGGCTGCCACAGCTCTCAAATCAAGTCAATTTGTTAGTGAATTATGATTTTTCTCCTTTATTAAGTTCACAGAGTTACAAATACAAACTCACTGGAAGAAAAGAGTGGGGTGTAGGTGGGGGGAGGAATTTATCAGAGACAGGAGCACTTAAAGGGTGGGGAACTTCCCAAAGCCTCTCTAGGCTCTAAAACTAGGATCAAAGGGAAAAGGGGGGTGGACAAGGCCCCCCAGCCACCCTGGCAATCTGGCTGCAACTGCAATAAATCGTAAAGGTCTTCCAGGAAGCAACCCCCTCCTCAGTTCAGCTTCTGACAAACATGTATAACAAGATACATGGTCTTAAAAAGTATTAACTTCCTTTCCTTAGCTCCTTCCAGTTCAGAGGTCACTAGACAGGCCTGGCTTTGAAATGAAGATAAAATGAACTGGTCAGCATTTATTGCTCATGATGAAAGTAGGTTTTATTTTACTTCCCTCTCTAAATAGAAAGTGCCAGTTGTGTTTAACTAATTAATTCTTTTTCATTTCATGACATATTTTCACTATCAATGTGTGGTCCATGAGTGTTTTATTCCCCCAAAAAACACATAAATAACGTCAATCTTACATTTTAAAATTTCATGAACACCCCTGCCCTTGCCAAACTATGAGCTAGAGATACTTGAGGAGCTTCAGAGCCCAGATTACTAGCAATTTTAAATTAGAATAGTTTTCAGCTTCAGCAGACACCAAAAAGGGGACCTTCAAGCCCTTCTTATACTCTCCCAGGCTTTCAATGGTTGCTGGGGCAACAAATAAAAAACACTTTTTTTTTTTCCTCCACTGTAAGCTCCAGGGAGGAGGGTCAAGCTGAGGGGGAAAAAAAAATACTACGGGGACAGGGAGGAAGCTGGCCAATGCTCTGTATTTCTTCAAGAGCTTTAAAATAACACATGAGTTGTATCCATTCCCTACCCCCACCTTTCATTTTTCTGGCTCCACCCAGTTATCCTGGCAGACAGCTGAGCCCTCAGCCACCTGGCACCCTAGACTTAATGACACATGTTCCAATTACATTAAGCCATTAGAGCTGTCCGTTTCAGCAAGAAAGTTTCTAGCCTGGGCGAGGGGCTGGGCTCTAAGTCGGAAAACAGGCAGAGGGAGACCTCTGTGGGGAGAGCAGGGCATAGCTCTGACCCAAGGCCCCTGCCTTGCAGGCCCCAGTGGGTCAAAGGCTTCTCTTCCTCTGCGACTCTGAGTGGGAACTCTCCAGACAGCAGACAGGCAACTCTGGGATTACACAAACAAGTCTTTAGTTAACGTAAGGGCAATTATGTGCACTGCTAACCAGTCTCTTCCTAACAATCCCTTGAAAGGACAAGAGTAACAACCCCACGCCTTCATCCAATTATGGTACAAGCTACTACTTGGAATAATGAAGAACATAGACTGACCCAGGGGAAGTCCGAAAAAAAAAAAAAAGCTTTTACTTCCTTCATAACCAAATACTCTCAATTCTACCACTGGACAGTGCATCAGTTTAACAGGTGCCAACAAAGTTTGCTAATTAAAAGCTAGGGTATGGGAAGTTATTTTTCTGGAGACACTTTGTTCATTTTAAAAATTAGGAACAGGGAATGGGATCCAAATACTATCCAGCAACAAGCACTAAGACTCTGGTTCTAGTACTTAGTTTGGGAGTACGGAAGATCAGCAGTAGCTGAGAAAAAGACAAGGTGAGACACTGTGTGAATTAACATTCTCATCTAGGAGACTTTAAGGATACCAGTAAAAACTGAAAATTGTGTTTTACACAGGTGTTAACTGGGAATGGATTTCTTGGTATTTTCTTTACAAATCAGAAGTCATGTTTAATTAAACAAACATCCTTTAATTAATTTACTGTTTACTGGTTCCAGAAGTTAAGGGAACAGTATGAAATGCGAACTTCTCCTAAACTCTTGGTTTGAAAAATTACAAACATTTCTATCAGGAAGCTTACAGTCTAGTCAGGAATACCGATCTTAAGAGGCTAATTTCAAGTGTGATGAGTGTGATGAAAAGGAAGTAGAGGTTCTAAATGGATATAAATTAACCTGGGAGGGGCAAGTAGATATAAATTAAGTTAACCCAAGTGCCTTTGAGCTGTGACTGAGAGACTAATGAAGAGGTGGAGCAGTGGGTCCCACACAGGCCCAGCAGGGCCAAAAGCCTGAAGGCCAGAGACAACAGGACTTCTCTGAGTTTTGCAGGAGGTCACTGCTAAGAGGGGGACCTTGGGGAGGTAAACATGGAGAACTAGTTAAGCAAGCACCAGACCATGTGCTGTGTAGCCTTAGAGCCACATTAAGGGTTTGGATTGAGAAAGCCACGGTACAATGACTAAATCACTCTCATTTCAGAAGTTTTATACTATACTTCCTAGTCCTTGGCACCTGAACACTGGGCTCAGTTCCAAACTTACTGACTCTGGAGCAAATTCCTCAGTTCCCTGCCCTATTTAGTACTGGCTGCCATAACTCTGTAGCTAGGCGGTTTATATACATCTTCACTTAATCACCATAACCATGAGGAGGTGGCATTATTACAAGATGAGAAAACTAAGTAGTTAAGTACGTGTCCAAGTGACACAGCATAAGACACAGGACAGATACAAGATGAAAATTCAAGGTGTCCGATCAGACTCTAGCACTGGGGTTTCAAGGTAAGATAACAAGTATTCTTCCCCTTTAGGGACTTGGAGTCTAGTGGGAGATATACAATAAATCGGCAACTGCTATAGGTGTGAGGGAGTACCATGGGAGCACAGGGGATGTTTGCCTTAAGCTCCCGATGAAATTACGTGTTTAAGTTTGAGATTTGGTGGATGCTAAGGGGGAGGGGCTTCGACCTTTAAAGAGTGTCGGATGAATACAGGTGTTACAAATGTAACCACACCCTCAAAAATGGGGTTTGCAAATTCACAGGTACTGTGTATATGTCATTCACTCCTCATATTCACAAGGAGACGCAGAGCCTAAACAGAAGACAAATCTAATTTTTCCAAGATTCTTCTTCATAGAAAACAAATTGCAGAAACTCTCCATAAACTCAGGAAGAATAGTTAAAGTTTTCTGAAATCAAAATAATGACTAAAAATAGGAACCATAAGCAATATGAACCTACTGGCAAAGGTCAGGTCATTTCTAGAAAAATATGAACAGTCCCCTCCCACCATCAAATTTTGCTCTTATTACAACTCTGCCTTATTTCTTGGGAGCAAAGAACATGTCTTCTGCTCTCTAACTATCTCCCCAAATCTATGCAGTGCCTGTCACTTCGCTGTTGCTCAATAAAGCTTTGATAAGTATATCAATTTCCAGTATTTCCCCAACTAGATTAGATTCCCAGCATTTTCTGAGGACTTTTTAATACAGCTGAGAAAAAGCACACATACAACAAAGCCTATGGATCCGGCCCCAAACTTTCCATTTACCTCCCTTTCCTTCCCTTGCACTGGGGGAAAACAATTCACTGCTAAACACTTTTCAATCTGGTCTAAATAAGAAAAGTAGAAATGTATAATTAACTTTTATTATTATGAAAATTTTGCTTAGAATGAGTGTTCTAAAGGTTTCCTTTCCCAAACTGTCCGTTTAATTTTGTTCCATGTAACCTTGCCAGTCCACCTAACAATGTTTTTACATGTGTTTATGTCATTAGGGTACCATCTGACCTCTAGTGGTGTAGTTAAGGGACACAGTGCACCATGGTTACTTTGCTTTTATATTCTGTATGTAAACATGTTGACAAGCCAAAAAGCAGCATTGAAAAAACACAACACACTACAGATGATCAAGCCCAGAAGGGTTAAAATGGGCAACTCTGATAAAAGTTTTACCTAACAGAAATGCTGAGACCTCTCGGCCACTGGAATTCTTTCAGTGTTAGTAAATTCTCTAACCTGCTCTGAAAACCTCTCCTCCTAGATCAAGTCCCATTCTCTATTTCAACTGCCTTATATTAACACTTTTGTTACAATCCCAAGTGCAACTGGCACACAGGGCCACTCTCTCCATCCCTTCCGACAGCCCATAAATAAGTCACAGTTGGAAAGCCATCATCCTTACAAAGTTCCCAAATACACTCGCTTCAGGTTCAAGTTGTAGAGGTGCAATTTCAGAGTTTACAACATTTTATTCCATGGTGAACACAAAACTGTGGAAGTGAAAACTTTAGTAATGTAGAGAAAAAATTAAGGCACTGCTTTCCCATATAATACCCTGGGCATTAGCTCTAACTTGTGGATAGAATCATTGTGGAAAAAAAAAGAGCTGGTCAGATTTTTCATATATGCATCAGGTCCAAACTCATTCTACTTAGACCTTTGAACGATCTAATAAAAATGACAGTATAAAACACTATCTTATGAAAATGACATAAAACACACCATCCCTAAAGCTGCTTTCAGAATGCAGGATTCTCTAGTGATGACAGGTAGACGGCTGTCCGTGTTGTTTCCTAATCTCTACACAGCACAAAAATCTAATCTGTGGATAAGGGAAGACATAGAGTAGTCCTGAGATGAAATCCAAAAGTCTTGGCTTTACTGCCAATCAACGGCTAGTTTTGATTATTCCACATCCATCTCTATAAAAACACCACTCAATATACCACCTCTCTCCATTCTCTCCTGAGGAATTGCCTGTCTTCCAAAGCAGAGTGCCTATTTTAACTTACAATCGAAAAAGAGTACAGCTGACTGCCTGGAACTTGCATGAGAAATGAAATATCAAAGTGATATAATGCAGACCAACTCATGGACTAGAAGACACATGCCCCTACTCATCATGGGCTGGGGTTGGTGAAAGTATCATCTGGAGGATGCCTGAATAAAGATAATGGAGCTTGTACTTGTCTCTGAGCTTATTAATCCAGGCAAAGCTTTATCACCATTTTGCAAGTTTCCTAATGGAGAAATCAGGTACTGAAGGCACAGTATAGACCCCCCAAGTCACAGTGGAGCAGGTGCTAAGGCCACGGATTCTGGCTTGAGACCAGTGGGAGGAAGGGAGCAGCAAATCAATAAAACCCAAACAACTGCGTCCTGGCTGTCCATCTATCCGGTGCCAGTAACAAAGGCTCTGTGTCTGGTGCCCAGCACAAAACAGGATGCGGTAACTATTTGTGAAATCAGTGAACAGCAGTTCCTTTCCTCTGTACCTTCCCAAAGCAACCTCAAGTAAGTTTATACCTTTCATGCTATGAGATGGAAACAATCAACCCCACAATATAGAAGGGGAAACCGAGGCTCAGAGGAACTGACTGACCAAGGCAAGTCTGCAGGGAGGGGACACGGTCACATCACGGCCACAGGGTACCTAACCCCCTGTCACACCCACCCCGTATGTCTCCCCAACCTCGCGCCTCAGTCACAACAAACGGGGAACAGGGCACAGCAGCGCCCGGCCGGCCTCCCCCAGCCCTGGACTCGATACAACTGCCACCTGACCCCCAGGCCCCAGACAAGGAGGGGGCGCGTCCCTACACCCCGTCCTGCCCCCGCGCCCAGCCCCTGACCTTTTTGTCCCAGATCTGCAGGGGCTTGCTGCCGATGCTGTAGAGGATGGAGAGGAAGCCGCTCTGGAACGTGTTTTTGAACATCCCTCTCGTGCGTGGCCTTCTCCTTAGCCGCACAAGAGCCGACCTAAATAAGAGTACCAAGTGGCGAAGGCAAAGCAGGGGACCGGCCCTGGTTCGAAAACGGGACGCTAAGCCCCCGGCCTCCCGGTGGGCAGCCACCAACTGCTGGGTTTGGACTTGGACCCTAAGTCAGTGACCAAAAGCCACTTCCAGATGGAAACCACAGCAACTGCGTCTCGCGCCACTCTCCCCGCCTTAAATGGAGGCGGCGGGCCTTCTGACGCTTAAGCTGGATCCCTCCGCCCACTTGAGCCCGAGAACGCGGAGTCCAATCCCGCTACAAGGCTCACGAACTTCCCGTTCCTTCCGCGCCCAAGTCCCGCCCTAATCCCGCCTCCTCTAAGAAAGAACTCCGTTGCCAAGGGACTATTTTTTCCCATGTAGCCCCAGAGTTGCTTTTAGAATGCGGAGTGGGACAAAAGCTTATAGAACGTGTTTTAGCACCTGCGTGATGTCATGGGAACGTGGCGGGGGTGGAGTCAGCGGGCGTGGAGACCTGGCCCCGCCCCCTGAGGGGTGAGGAGGAGTTAGCAGAAGAAAGTGGAGAAAGGCCGGGGAGGTGGCTTAGCAAAGCCAAGTGCTTACATGGTATCCTGAGAATGCCAAATAAATGCTTGTTGGCCGAGTCCAGGGTAAGTTTAAAGCAGCCAAACAACACTGAGCACTTACTGTGCTGAGCACCTTATATGCATCATTGTTTTAATTATTAACAGGGTCGCTCTGAATGTACCACTTAACTTGTGGGAAACAGTTAAAGCTATATTCTGAGGAAAATGTATCGCTTTAAACGCATAGTTAGAAAACAAGCTGGTTTCAACAGCTGGTTTTTTTTTTTTAATCAGTTAATACTCGGAACATTTTAGAAAGGTAAAATAAGCCATGATATTTCAAGTGTTGAAGAAATCCCAAATACTGGAGACCACTCACTCACTGAACATCTACTTAAATATTATACTCTGTGATCAGATCTTTGCTGGGTATTCTGGGACAGAAAAGGAGTTTGCAGTTAATGCCGTCATTTTAAAAGCTAATGATAGCTAACTTCAACTGAGCATTTATTATATGTCAGGCACTATACTAAGTGCCTTAGGCTTTATTAAATCATTTAATCCTCACAGCAACCCTGTGAAACATCCAGTCAGAATTTCTAGAACATATGGGGAAATTTATAATTTTACTCTAGTAATTTAGAAAATTACTTATTTACATACACAAAGTCAAAACTTTTCATACGAAACTATTACATTTGGGTGATTTCTGGATACTTTAGGTACTTCATGCCAGTGGACAATTTATTCCTTGATTGTTAATAAATTTTTCAAAATATTCTAAGGGGAGAAACAATGATCATACATTAGATTTTTCACATGCACTTATTAATCATGTGTAGGATTTTTAAAAATTTTGTCCCACAAAACACTGACACCACCAAATGCTGGTAAGGATGTGGAGCGACAGGAACTCTGATTCGTTGCTAGTGGGAATGCAAAATGTGATAGCCCCTTTGGAAGACAGTTTGGAGATTCCTTACAAAATTAAACATACTCTTACCATAGGATCCAGCAATACCTCTCCCTGGTATTTACCCAAAGAAGCTAAAAACTTAGGTCCATATCAGTAGGTGTTTATAACAGCTTTATTCATAATTGCCAAAACTTGGAAGCAACCAAGATGTCCTTCAGTAGGTGAATGGATAAATAAATGGTGCTACACCCAGACAATGAAATATTATTCAGCACTAAAATGAAATGAGCTATCAAGTCATGAAAAGACATGGAGGAACCATAAATCCTTTACTAAGTGAAAGTAATTAGTCTGAAAAGACTGCATACTGTATGATTCTAACTATATGACATTCTGGAAAAGGCAAACTATGGAGGTAATAAAAAGATCAGTGCTTGCCAGGGGTGGAGTGTGGGAAGAGATGAATAGGCAGAGCACAGAGGGCTTTTAGACAGTGAAAATACTCTGTATGATACCGTAATGATGGATATATATCAATTTACATTTGTCCAAAACTGTAGAATGTACAACACTGTGAACCATGATGTAAGCTATGGATTTGGGGTGATTATGATGTGTCAGTGTAGGTTCATCAAACAACAACTCGGGAGATGTTGATAATGGGGGAGGGCCATGCATGTGTGGGGGCAGGGGATGTATAGGAAATCTCTGTACCTTCCTCTCAATTTTGCTATGAATATAAAATTGTCCCCAAATTGAGGTCAGCTTAACAAAAAAATAAAAGGGAAAAAAATACTTCAATATATTCAAGACCTTGAGGTAGACAGATTTCTTAGGACACAGATTGGGCTAACATTAAAGAAAATATTGATAAATTAGACATCATTACAATTTTTAAAGTCTGTCAATTAAAAGACAACATCAAGAGTGAAAAGGCTTAAACCACAAACTGTGAGAAGGTATTTTGCAATATATAAATCAGAAAAAAAAATCTTTTTCTCTGTGAATGTATGTTTTTAAATTGAGGGATAGTTGACATGCAGTATTATATTAATTTCAGGTTATGAAACACCAAGATAATGCTAAGTATAGTTACCAGCTATCACCAAAGTTATTACAATATTATTTCCTATGCTGTACTTTTCATCCCTGAGACTTATAACTTTAAGTTTGTACCTCTTAATCCCTTCACCCATATCTTACCCATCCCACCAACCCACCTGCCCTCTGGCAACCACCAGTTTTGTTCTCTGTACTTATGTATTCTAATGTATTATATGTCTATTTCAAGTTTTTTTGTTTTTTAGCTTCCACATACAAGTAAAATCATATGTATTTGTCTTTTTCTGTCTAATTTTATTTAGCATAACACCCTACAGATCCATTTATATTGTTGTAAATTGCAAGATTTCATTCTTTTTTATGGCTGAGTAATATTCCATTATATAAAGATATATATATATCATCTTATTTATCCATTCATCTATTGATGGACACTTAGGGTTGCTTTCCTATTTTGGTTATTGTAAAAAATGCTGCAATAAACATAGGAGTACATATATCTTTTTGAGTTAATATTTTTGTTTTCTTCACATAAATACCCAGAAGTGGAATTACTGAATCATATGGTATTTATATTTTTAATTTTTTGGAGGAAACTTCATACTGGTTTCCATAGTGGCTGCACCAATTTACATTCCTACCAACAGGGCATGAGGGTTCTCTTTTCTCCACATCCTAACCAACGCTTTTGTTATTTCTTGTCTTTTTTCATACTACCAATTCCAATGGGTATGAGGTGATATCTCATTGTGGTTTTGGTTTGATGATGATTAGTGGTGTTGAACATCTTTTCATGTGTCTGTTGACCATCTGTGTGTCTTCTTTGGGAAAATGTCTTTTTAGGTCTTCTGCCCACTTTTTAATCAGACTATTTGGGGGTTTTCTTGGTGGTGAGTTGTATGAGCTCTTTATGTATTTTGGATATTAACTCTTTATTGGATATATCATTTGCAAATATTTTCTGCTCTTCAGTATGTTGCCTTTTCATTTTATTTCCTTCAGTGTGAAAGCAAAAACTCTTTATCCAGAATATATAAAGAACTCCCACAAATAACAAAAAAAGGAAATTCAATTTTGAAAAAAAATGACAAAAGGCTTGAACAGGCACTGAATAAAAGAAAATACCCAAATGACCAATAAGCATATAGAAAGGTGCTCACTGTATCTGGTCTTCAGGAAAATACATGGTGAAGCAAATGGAACATCCATGCCTTTTTGATGGGAGTATGAATTGGCACAGCCAACTTGAAAAACTGTTTGACAACATCTATGAAGTCTAGACATATGTAAACTCTGAGAAATTCTAATTCTGGGTACCAAACAGAAATGCTTATGTCTCTAGAAGACATGTACAGGAATGTTCTTAGCAACATCATTTACAACAGTTCTAAACTGGAAGTAGCTCAAATGCTCATCAACAGTAAACAGATAAACTGCGATCTATCTATTCAATAAAATACAACATAACAGTGAAAATAATGAACTGATGCTCAATAAAATGGATGAGCCTCAGAAATAGTGAACAAAAGAAGCCAGACACAAAGCCAGGCTTTGATTCGACTTACTGAATATCAAAAACAGGTGAAACTAATCCATGGTATTGAAGTCATGGTGTGGTGTCCTAGCTAGTAGAGTTCTAGTCCCTCTGTATTCCAGCCTCTCTCCTCCCAGCCTCCATGTCAACCAGCCCATAGTATTCCCATTCCTGTTAGCCTGCTGCCCTTGAGGTAAAGTCCAATCCTTACGATACATTTAAAGTCCTCAGAACTCACAGAGGTGAGGATCCAGGTTTGTGGCACCTATTTGATCACCTCTTCATAAGACAGTTTTATAATTTTCATAGGAGTAGCATAAGTCACTCTTCCTTTATCATGGTTGATAGACGCGTTCATAAAACATGCAACTTTATCCATACATGCGCTGCTGTTTCTAGATCTGCTACTTATGTGTGCCATCTGAACCTAGGGATTCTAATTCTATTCTGCATGGCTGATAAATCAAACCCATGATATCGGCAGTATGTGTCAAACTGAGGAATAAGTTTCTGATTGCTGTGGTATTTTGTTAAGATAGTTGAAACATTTAAGATAACAATGTATTAGAGGATCTGATACTTTGAATTTAATTTGAAATTCTTAAAGGAATTCAAAATCAGATCTGTGATTTTAATTTTAAAATGTCTAAGAAAATGTAAGTTTGTAAACAGTGAATGTTTAAAAGATTTTGATTTATTATATCTATGATGTTATATATCTTAGATGTTAGTATTTGAATGCTAAGAAAGATTTCATCAGATTTTAGGTTTCATATAAGCTAGTGGAAGTTTTTGTGCAAATCAAACAGATTAAACATGGTTGATTTTGAAAGGCCTAAGGAAACTAGATTTAAGTGTGTGAGCAGTATTTGTGGTTTAAGTTTTAAGTTAATTGAACATCAAAGATTAAGCCAAGTTTATATATTTGTATACCAAACCAACTAGTTAGTAGTTACAGTAAGATTTGTAAATTGATCTTAAAGACACAAATTTATTTTCAAATGTACAGCTTTAATAACATAGTACTTAAACAACAGTAACGATAAACATCTTTTCTAGTGCACAAAGGCACTGGTCAGATGGTAAACCCCAGTGAGCCATGTCTGTTCCTGTCAGTCTAAGCCCAGAAACTCAGAGCACCTGGCCTCCAAGAGACATGAGGGACTTGCACACAGAGGTGGAGTTTATTCTCCACCCTTCTTTGTTGATGAGGGTGGGGAGGTATAGCAATGAGGTTATTAGTGCCTGGATAAACACCCTGCAGCTGGGAGCAAAGACTGAAGAGTGCCCCGGATGACTGGGTGCTCAGCTGGCAGACGGAGGACCACTGAATCCCAGCTCCAGCGGTAGGTTATATCCAAAGACCATCAGCCCTGACTACATCAGCAGAAGAGCCAATGGTAGGCAGATGAGGCTCCTGCTAATAGGACAGTTTAGTTCAAATGAGCCTCTTGCTATTTTTTAAAATTTATTTTTAAATTTACACAGCAGTAAGATGTACTCCTTTTAGTGTAGTTTTGACAAAGGCATCAAGTCAAATAGCCATCACCACATGTAGGATACAGAACAGTTCCACTGTCCCCCAAATTCCCTCATTCTATCCCTTTGTAGTGAAATCCTCCCCTACCCATAACCCCTGGCAACCACACATCTGTTCTGCATCTCTGCAGTTTTGCCTTTTCCTGAATGTCATGTAAGCAGAATCATTCAATCAAAAAGTTTGTAGCCTTTGAGCCTGGCTTCTTTGCACAATATGTTTGAGATGCACATTTTAATAGCTTGTAGAATATTTCACTAAGTGTTGCTCATCTATTCCACCACCCAGCCCCCTCTAAGCCAGGGATTTTTAAAAACATTTGCCAGCTCTTTGAAGCCTTCTTTGGAAGCCCTACTTTTTGACTGCTTACTTTTGAAGCCTTCTGCAGAGCATTTTGAACCTGTTATTAAAAGGCAGCCATTTTTTCATATAACATTTTTCCTGTAATCTTTTGGAAAAGATTTTAGAATTTGCTTTCTAAATTATGTGATTATGATTGTGACTCTTTGCTAATTCTTGTAAGAAAAATATTTTTAAAATCAAATATTGAATTTAATGGTTAATGAAGTTCACAGGATTAGAAACATTTTAATTACATTTGTTAATTTTTACTTTCAACTTTCTTATGTTAGAGCCAAGATTTTTATTTAGGTATCAAACATTTCTGTAGGCCCCTGGAAAGGTCACAGACCCTGGGCACCATGCCCCAAGTGCCTGACAGAGCCCCACATAGCTAAAGGCATTATGGTTCCAACCTACACCAGTGAAAGAAGGGAATGGAAGACTGCTCTCTCTGAATCATAACAATGCCCTTCTAAAAAACAAAACATATGGCACAGTAATTCTTTTTTAAGATTTTATCTCACAAACATCCATACTGTGTAAAAATATATGTGCAAATCTGTTAATTACAGCAATACTGGTGTAGTACTGGTAAGAGTCTATCAGTAAAGAATTGCTTCAATTGTGATACATCACACAATGGAATACTATGCAGCCACAAATGGGTGAGGTAGATGCTAACAGTAAATTTTCACAACTAAGTGAAAGCACAAGTTGCAGAAAAAGAATGTATAGTTTGATTACAATTCTGTAAAAACAAAAATCAGTGTATTTAAAAAATATTAGTAAATGCATAGGATAAAAATTAGAAGATATACACCAAATTTAACCATGGTTACTTCCAGGGCAGGGAAGTTTTTCTATGTGTGTGGTTAGGGGAGAAGCTTTCATTATTTACTTTTGTATAGCATTTCAAAATTTTTACCATGAATATATATTACTTTGGTAACCAAGAAAATTCAATATATATTACTTTAAACAACTCAAATACAAAGCAGACAACTGAAAGATGTGAACTGATGTGGATTTCCAAGCATACTGTGGATGAGCTTTGACTGTTCTTGGGTTAGCAGGTTCCCATTCCCTTTTCTCAAGGTCAAAAAAATACAGAAACTCTACCTTCTCCTCCTTTCTACTACCAAATACTCTCCCACTCAACAATAGTCATCCACAAAAAACAAGATCACCTGAGAGGTTTCTGGGAAACAAGACTCTCCTACCCAAAAGTTAGTGCCTTGGTTGAGAAGGAATTTGAAACTTGAACTAGTGTTCAAGTTCTAAATGGCATCTAAGAATTCCCATGCCAGTTGACTGTGTACCTGACCCTTCTCCTCAGGGAAGACCCCAAACGCTGGCAGATCAACAGGGATAACATGCTATAGAGATCACACACACGCACATGAAGCACCATGCCCACAGGAGCTTCTGGGGCGTGCTCACTCTAAGGAGGTGTTGAGATGCTGTCCCAGAGCTCTGGGAGGCCAACAGAAATGTGCAGAACCTTGAGTCAAACAGGGTCATGAGGAAGCCTTGTTGTCTTGTTGGCTGGCAGTGGGCCTTCAGGCCCTCACTCGCTGGTGTCCGCGGGCATGCAGTCTTGAGCTCCCACACCTGCAGAACTGCTTGGATACGACAGAAGTTGGTCCAAGGGACACTGTGATGTCGTGGTGACCCTGAGGGGCCTTTGCTTTCCTCCCCAAAATCGCTTCAAAACCTCTTGAGTGTCCACACCTGGGTTACCATAGTCATCTTTTCAGGACAAGCAGTGGAGAAGACAGGAGAAGGAATGTTGTACAGACCAAGTGGCTTTTGTGGAGCATGAGTGGGCACCCCATCCAGCTGTCTGGACATCGGAGTCTGCCCGTTGCTTCTGCTGTCTGTAGGCGGCGGGTGGATGCCAGCCAGATACAAGGCTGGGCAGCCACCAGGTCATTGTTGCTTTCACCTCCTGGTGGCTTGGGGGATGTGGAGGACGGAGGCAACCAGGGAAGGCTCAGTTGTCAAACAGATCTAGCTTTTTTCACTGAAATATAACCAGTGCTTCCATTCCACCCTCTTTCACATTTGGGTGGTCCACTTTTCCTTCCAGTTCACAGGAGCTTCAGGATACCAGCAGAAGCAGCCCTCAGACCTGGACCCGAGACCCCTGACTGCTTCCCTGCCTCAGGACAGCAGGCTCAACCATTCTCCGAAGCAAGTTTTTTCAGAAGGGGCCATGGGGAAGAGGGCCAGGATTGGGGGCAGAATGAATGATGGGAGACACAAGCAAAGGGAAAGTGAAGGGGCTATGGCATCATTCAGAGTCTACTACAGTGACATTTACCTACCCCTTAAATCCCTGGGCAACTCACCTGCTTCCGGAGGAGGGGTCAAGGGAGATTGAAGGTGTTCAAGGCAAAGCCCAGCTTCCCTGGCTGTGTACTTGGGCCCTCTGCAGTTTGCCCTACTCCCAGGATTAGTTCAGCACTCCTCAACTGCTCTGCAAAGAGCATCCTTAAAAACCCTCCTCACCTGGGACTTCCTGTTTTCCTCTGGTAGAACCTGGCACGAATGCTCTATTTAACTCTGCAAGAAGTTAATTCTATTTCCTCCCTTTGTGGCCATGGATCTCTGTTAATGGCCCCTTCCATATGGAAAACTCCATACATTTCTTTTAAAACCTTTTATTCAATAATATATACCTTTAAAGTTATAATATGTAACTACCCATCATGCCATATATTGCCCCCATTCCCCAACTGGGGAGTCTGTGGTTGGCTAGTTAGTGTGGTCTGCTGGGAAAACAGGCGGCCATAGGGCGAGTCAAGGGGCACGGGGGAGCAAGGGTAACCAACAACCATTTCGCATACCCTTCACATTTCCCATGCTTTCTGGGTCGGGAGGAAGTCAACAGGAAGCCAAAGGCGTGAGAACCTTTTACATTCAGAAGTGAGGTTTGGTATACGGTGGTGGCTGCCCTTCAGTTGGTCTAGTTCGTGCTCGCCAAACCTGCCACCATTTTGTGTCTGCTCACGGAACGTGATCTCTCTACACACGTTAAGACGTTTGATTTGGTTCTTGTTCTGCTTATGGAAAAGTGGGAGGAACCGCAACAGACCTGGGGAGAGATGGGAGGAGGGGAAAGACGGCATTAATTAATCTGACCGGGAGTGAGGATAGGCCTCCACCTCGTGTGGCTTCCTTCTCTTGAAGAGTGCTGGGAATAGTGTGCAAGCTTGACCTTCCCGTGCCACTTTCTTAACCGAGTAAGGGCAGACTATGATTTCAGGTTTCACACAGTACCCTCTTCCTTCTGCTTCTGATCACGATGAACAGAGGCAGTCTTTGGCACGGCCTTCTGTGAGAGCAAGGAGAGAGCTCTGGACAAAACGTAAGACAGAGTCTCCTCTTCTCTCAGGTCCAGATTGCTGCTTTAGAAGCACTGAGGCCTCGACCATTCTGTGCAGGCCAAGCTACAAGTTCAGCAGTCCAACTCCAGCTCCCCATTGGACCTGACCCGATTTACTGAGGGTGTCTTGGGACTAACAATCAGATGACTGTATTTACACAGGGAAAGGGCCGAGTCCACTACTAAACAAAGAGCCAAAAGGGAGCACAAATATTTTTAACACTCCCGTGGAAGCAGCTGTAGCATGGCCTGAAAACCTCATTTCTCTTTCCATGTCCAGGACAGTGAAGTGGGTGGTGAGATGCCAGCAGCAGAATCTGAGCAGCAGTGTCTCACCGAACCGTACAACAGCACCGAAAAGCTGATGCACTTCGGAAGCCGGCACTCAGTGTCATCTCATGAACACTTTCTTTGGATAAAGGAAGGGTTCCACTGCTTGATGTTTGAGAAAGGCTGCATAGTGCAGAAGCTTAAGAAAGACATGTCTGCCTGTAAGCACTTCAGCAACTGATTTCCAAGCATCCAACTCCACAGAGGGATCAGTCATTGAGAAGAAAGCACACTAATTAAAGACACCACCATCTGCCAGACAGTAGCGTGTACCTGCTTGTGTTGCAAGGAATGGGGGTAGGGAGAAATTTCCATAAATGCAGAACACTCTGCCATAAAGGTTAAAGCTGTGCAATAAAAAAGGTCAACCGCAAGAAGCAGGAGTCTGAGTGGTGCGATTCATAAGCAAGTACCAAGAAACAGAACAATCACCACCACACAACTCTAGTCCCACCTCCTGCCAAAGGAAAGTCTTTACACTAAAGTAAACCATATCTTTGCAATTCCAGGTTTATCTCTTTCTCCCCAAAGATAGGAAATACAAGTTTAAGGTCCTTATAACAGTGGCTTGTCTCCCACTTGGGAAGGCTGGTGATCATCAAGTTTTATTTATGAAACCAGGATTTAACGTGGCACTTTTTCTCCCCTCTAAGGGCAGCACACAAGCCATACATCAGCCATTCAGTGGTTCAAAAAGGTGGCCAGTTGTGTCTGAAGTGGTCGTTTGCAAAGGGTCACAACCCATGCAGGGTTGTGTTTCTGCAAACAGGAGGAAATAGTTGGCTCCATGGTTCTTGAAGATTTATCCAAGCTTTCCACTGGGTGTCAAGATTTCCGTCCCAACCTTAGTGACCATTTACAGCAAGAAAAGCCAGCAAGTGAAAAAACTGTTAATTTATTGATTCAATGAAAGTTTTTTTTTAAACAATCCCTAATACATGCAGTTCAGAATAAAGTATCACATTTGCAGCACACTGTTGAGTCTCTACACGAAAGTACGTATCACCTGTATTTAATCCCATCACGTCACTTTCCCAAGCCTCTACAATACCTGGTTGGGGTTGTTTTCATCAACACATCCATATAGCTCAAAAGCATATGTTGTTATTGGTTTTCTCAGCCAGATGCTTTCCCGCCACCTCCCTTCCCACCCCATTCCCACTCTGGGATTAGTTTTTAAAGGCAAGACATTATTCAGTCTTGGATTTATTAAGCTTACTGACAAACTCTGCTTCTTGTGTGCTCATGTGAACCCCGCTTTTGCTTTCGGATTTCTATTTTGATGGCCTTGATTATTATTAGTTTATTATCTGCTCCTATTTATTTGTAGAAGGATGTTTGCTTTTGCCCATGGATGCTCATGCAGTAGCAGGTTTCTAAATAAATCATTTAGTCTGAACTGGCATTACTGGAAACTGTTACCTAGACTCTCTTAGAACCATTTCAGTACATACATAAAAATTCTCCCAATTGTTCCTTGTGTTTCCAAATAGTTCTGCTTCCATCCTCATCCATGCAGCACCTGGGAGAACCTAAGGCACCTCCCTGAGCAGACACAGACTGAGACCCATGGCCTCCAGCTCTGGGACTCAGTAACTGCCCTGAAAACACCACCTTCAGTCTCACTGGAACCAATCCAGGGGGCAGTGTCCATCTCAGGTTACATTATAGAACAGGGACTTGAAGCCCCTTTTCTTCCCTCAAGAAGTCATGTTTGTTCCCTCCCCAAAATCTTTCGACTGTTTTCATTGGTTCCCTTTCTTCTTTTAATAGCCCCCAGGGATTACAAGCTCTTTTATCTCCTCTAATCAACCAGAGTACCTTCCTTCTCTGCCAGGGAACACATCTGCTCTGAGCCTTCTGAGTACCGATGTGGTTGAGACTGTCTGCTAGGAGGCCCAACGGAGTGGCTAATGTGAAAATGCCTTGAGGAGCCGGCAGCTGCATTCCTTCAGCTGGAAAGGCTCAGGAATGCTTGGTCTGCGTGCCACCCATGATGGATTCTCCCACCCCATCCCCTACCACAGGGAGGGCAGGACAGGGGCAGGCCTGCTGGTAGGGTCCACGGGCGAGTGAACAGCAAGCAAACCAGATCAAAATATTACCAAGCACTTCATCAGCTCTGCTCCCACCATGGGATTTCTCAACTGAAGCAAAGCCTTGTAGTTATGCTCACTTGTGGCAGATAAACTATGATATACCAACCTGCATTTGGCATAGGGACCTGCTGTTTCACCGCACCAAGTCTATGTTCTTGAACATAGGCAGTACCTGAGATGACAGTGTTACACTACCCTGTTCCCCACATTTTTTTTGCTTTTTTTTTAGGAAATAATAATTAAGTCCTTATTATAGGCACTTTTTACCTGTTATAAGGTAATGAAGCAAACAAATGTTTAATAAAAATTACTGAGATGCATTTAAGAAATAATATGCTACTGAAAAGGATATTGGGTGGGTACATCTACCATGACTGTCTAAACTCACTCACACACACACACACTCTCTCATCCCTCTTTTGGAACTCTCCAAGACCATCTCCTAAACCAGGTGAATACTCTTAAAATCTCAGGGGGACTAGGTACATGTGGATACAGAATGGTTTTGGAGATGGGCAGAAGAGAAGAGGTCTGGCCTGGACTACTTCAATTTTGGGAAAGAACAACCTAGTCTGTTAGCCAGGAAGCTAGGTGTCAAGACCAGACTCAGAAAGGAGTGAGCATTTTAACTCAGTTATGCTGCATGTCTAAGACATGAAGAGAGGTAAAAAGTATAGGTGGTGGAAAAGCCAACTGTATGTGTAAAAAGGAAGAATTACTCCTGGTCAAAGCTGCAGTACAGAACCCAAGGACAGGCAGGCTGGCTGTGTTTGCACCAAATAAACTGTGATCACAGGAGAGGAAGACAGGAGTCAACCACCTGACTCTTCTCCTTCGATGTGTTTATTGCCTCTGGGGAACCCAAGGGAAAGAAACCAAGACCCTCCAGTAGGTTCCCCCTGCCTGGTCCAGACAGGCAGCTTAAGAAACAAAGCAAAATAAAACGCAAAGCAGTGGCACAGATGGAATGGGTAACAAAGGAGGAGAAGAGGACAAGGTGGGTGGGCAGGAAAGACAGTGGCACATCTCCCTGATGTTAATAACCAGCGGTCGGGGTTGCCTAGAAGGGCACATTAGAAGTCTTTTGATAATCCCAAACACCGAGTTTTGCTGCCTGATGTATTGATATATATTCAGCAAGAGCTCGTGTCTTATACTTGATCTTCAGGTAGAATGAATTTATACGTTAATATATAGAATGCTCAATGCAGGCAGACAGTAGTGGTATGACAACCTTAACTGAATGCATCTCCTGGCTTTGGGACCTTGTTTTTAATTGTTTACCTGTAAGCTCAACTCTATGTAAGAGTTTTATTTGTATTTTAAGTTCCCACCGACCGAACAACAAAGATAGAGCTACATTTAGCGAGAGGACCTGCTACCAATACCAATACAATTTTATTGGAGTACGGAATGTAAACAGTTGTTTCAAATGAACAATCTAACCTTATAAAAATGTATGGCATTATTAAATATAGTTAATAAAGAAATCCTAAAGTGTGATGTGGTGGTAGACACCACCAGCTCTAGCCTAGGTGTGTGAAGTCTCCACAGCTGTAAGGTGGCTCTGCAGCTAGGGTGAGGGGACTGCTTGTAAACCATTGGTGACAAGCCCCAAAATGAAATCAGTCCTATTTTTTACTTTTTAAACAAAATCTAGCTTCCTTTGCAACTTTACCTTTTGCTCCAGGAGCTCCACTTCCTTCCACAAGCCCCTGGGACACTGTTCTCCTCTGTCACTTGGGTTATGGGGTGGCCCTACCCACACATCTCTAGTCCCTGCATGTGAGAAAGACTTATCTCTGCCATCATATTCATGTATTACCTATCAGAGCTTAAAAATGCAGATTCCCCTGATTACAGTGAGAAATTATTTTTCCTGGGGATAAAAAGAGGCAAAAGGAGGGGGGAGGAGGAGTAGTTTTTTCACCCAATAGGTCCTTCCTGAATAAATTCTAATAGGACATTTTTCTCCCTTCCCAACTTGCCTGAAGACTGACTTCCCTTCCAGCTTTAATTATGATTATAAAGAAAAAGTCTTTGTTCTGGAGAGGTGCATTAAAACAGGTGCACACACTGGGATGTGCTGGGAAATAGAGGTTCTCCCTTACAAGGCTGCAGAAAAAGAAAAAAAGGCTACACGAAAAAATAGCAACAAGACTTTATGGTTAGGTAAATCAACAAAGGTTACAGTGAGCTCCAAGTTGTGCACTTAGCATCGCATTGCTGATGAGACATGGGACCCGTTCATGGCACCGCAAGGTTTAAAGTGATGCCTCCTGACATCATAGGGTATTCATGATTGACTGCAGTTTGCTCCCAAATGAATACATTTAGAAGAAAACTGCAGGGATGAGGTACATTTCCTAGAGAGCTCATGTCATAAAAAAATACATAAAACATGAATTTGTAAAAGAGCTTAAAAAAAAATACTGTCACTGTTTTCAATATCTCCTTTTCGTAAATGAGGCTGGTATGCCAGTAGACTGCTGACATTTTGCTAAAACTTGAGCCTGAATCTCATCAAAGGAAACCCAGACCACAGTGGAATAGATAGGAAGTCAGATATTCAGAGCTTGTTGTCTGAATGGGTTAATTCAACAGTGGTCTCCTGTTAAATAAACGTAAATGGACAACAACTCCGAGTCTCTCATCTCCCATGCATTCCAAAGGGAGAGTCCCCTCAGGTCCTCAACTAGGTGCATCATCACGCTGCCAGAACGGCAGCTCCCTGTAGACTAGTACTGGGGAGTTTCTTTCTTTCTTGTTGACAGACTTTTAGGTCTTTACTCTTCTTTGCATTTAGAAGGAATGACTAGAATTTCTTTTTATCACACGGTAGTTTTCCTTCAAGATTTGTGTTTGGTTGCTTGGTTTTATTGGCAAGCATCAATGCTGCATTACCCGTCGCTTTCCAGTCTTCATCGGGCTGCCGTGAGACCACTGGAAAGCACAGCATTTTCTGCACAAGGCTGGGACTGCTCCTTCACCACAGGGTCTGCAAGAGACAGAACAAAGTCAGCCGACTTGGCTGGTCACAAGAGAGACGCCATCGTGTCAAACCCAATCCTTCCACAGTGGGAGAGACTGATGGGAAAGCTGGGGCAGGACAGCAACAAAAATTATAAATTAAGGTTATAGGAAAATGACACTGAAAAATGATTAGGGGAATTACATTTATAGTCAACTCTTGACACTTCCTCAGAGTACAAATTCAACTACTGAGACTCATGGAAAAGAGAGGTACAGAAGCACTAATTTCCTACTGTTCAAAATTTCTACTAATTTTCTTCTGTGTTATTTTCCTTGACTACTAACATCAACCCCCAATTTCTTCATAGCATGTAGAGTAATTAGTACTTTGGAGGAAAGAGTGACTAAAAAGATCCGTTAGAAGACTTATCAATTTTTTTTTTTTTGAGAGGGCATCTCTCATATTTATTGATCAAATGGTTGTTAACAACAATAAAATTCTGTATAGGGGAGTCAATGCTCAATGCACAATCATTAATCCACCCCAAGCCTAATTCTCATCAGTCTCCAGTCTTCTGAAGCATAATGAACAAGTTCTTACATGGTGAACAAATTCTTACATAGTGAATAAGTTCTTACATGGTGAACAGTACAAGGGGATTCATCACAGAAACTTTCAGTTCTGATCACGCATTATGAACTATAAACAATCAGGGCAAATATGAATATTCGTTTGATTTTTATACTTGATTTATATGTGGATCCCACATTTCTCCCTTTATTATTATTATTTTATTTTTAATAAAATGCTGAAGTGGTAGGTGGATACAAGATAAAGGTAGAAAACATAGTTTGGTGTTGTAAGAGAGCAAATGTAGATGATCAGGTGTGTGCCTGTAGACTATGTGTTAATCCGAGCTAGACAGGGGCATTAAAACATTCACGGATGCAGAAGATTTCTCTCAAAACAGAAGGGGTGAGGTTCTAAGCCTCACCACTGTTGATCCCCAATTTCTCACCTGATGGCCCCCCTGCGAGACCTATCAGTTTTAAGCAGTAGTAGTTTAAAACATTTTTTTAATGGAACTTGCGATGTATATTCAGAATGTAGACTGATCATGAATTACATATTATAAATGTCAGTGTTTCTTCATTCAGTCTAACTCAAAGGGTGAAAACAGCTTTCTGTGCTAGAAATTGGAAAACAGATATCTGAGTTGCACTTATTTGATTTGAGGTCTGGAAAGCTGAAAGGTAAGACCTTTTAAATCTGCTGTCTACTAATGTTTATGGGGCAGTAAGTTCAGGACCACACAGCAGTGTATTCTTCAGTCAAGATTTACTTAACCTCCAGAGGGGAAGAAAAGGAAAAGGAAAGATAGCATACTGGTCAAGCAACACAGAGATTCAAAGTTTTCATCTGGATTCAGGGTGAACAGACAGGTCACTTAACCTCCCTTAGTCTCCTCTGGCTGGACTGAATCATCTCGTGTTGCCAATTATAACAGGAAAGTTTATTCTCCAATAAACTTTATCAGTGGGGAGAACTATATATACACATGCACAACAAGCAACTACATAAGCTCAGTTATACACACACACGTACTCTGCATATGACCCGAGGAGTCAGTGATTCTGACAGGATTTTCGTGAGATTTTTCCATACCTGCTTTGCTTTCCTCAAATTCCTTTTATTTATTTAACATATTGCCTTCTTTAAAAATATACTATTTTTATATTCTTATCACTTTCAACTAATTACTTGCTTTTTGAGGGGAAAATTTTTTTGACTAGGTGTCCACACACATGTACATATATGAAAACAAGTTTTAGATAATTGTGATCTATCAACTCAAGGCTACAGGGAATGACCAAGCAGACAAGACTCAAGAGCACCACAGCAGTGCACAGCAGGCACCTTTGGGATCAGAAAACAGGTCTTGAAAGTTGTCTCAACAGTCTAGAACTAATGAGGCCGAGTTCAAGGATGAATCAATCCAAATATCTACAATTCTCTTGACTGGCCTCAAAAATAAAGGGCAGAAGAACTTTCCTTTAATAAATTAAGCCCCAAAGATAGACACTGGAGACTCACAGAAGTATGGGTGCTCCATGGCCTCTTTGGCAGTCAGTCGCTGTTGATGGTCATATCGCAGAAGTTTGTCCAGAAGATCTAGGGCCTCAGGGCTGACTAGGTGTCTGTTCTCACTATGGATAAAGTTTTCCCAGCGTTTCCGTGAATGTCTGAGAAGAAAAGGGAAACATTAGTACCTTGAAATTAAATTCAACAAGAATCCTCACGTACTAGGGCTGAAGCCAACAAAAATCTTAGAATACTGCACTGGTTCCAAGATTGTTAAATTTCACCCTTACTGATATTTGCCCCACCTCCACAGTTAAGCTCACAGCATCCTGAAACAAGAACAGTGCCTTGAGATCGAGGGTTAATGAGAACTTCCACATCTGATTTAGAATTTGTGCAACCTTTCTAGATTATTTTTGTGCCCTAGCTTTTAATCAATTCTGGGTAAGGCACAGAGGTGACTGAGTCATGTTTATTGTTCAGCAGATAGTTTAGAGAACTACCTTCAAAGGTTCCATAAAATACTGTTTTGAAATTTGACAACAGTCAACTTTGCAACAACTATTGCACTGTACCTGAAAATATGCTTCAAAATTTGCTACTTTGTAGAAAATCTATTACACAGACCAAGAAGAAACTGTAAATCTCTTTTTCAAAGAAGAATCCTGCTTTCTAAGATTTTCCACTAAAATAAGCATGTGCTGTACCAGTAGCTTTTTACTGTAGCAGCATCATTTCGCCATCCATTTTCTATTGATAAATCAGGTTATCTTTTAGAGAAGTCAGATGACTGGAAGACATGTAAAAAATGCCCAATATCTCAAGTTAAAAAAAAATACACACGGGAAAAAAGGACACTTCCACACTTCCACTTTGATACTCTTAGAAAGGGATTTCAGCTAATATTTCCCCTTCTCCAAAAGAGTAAGTTAAAACCCTCTTTCCCTCTCTTACTTACTGTCCCAGGATATCATTGAAGTGCGGGTCCAGGTCTATGTGATACTTCTTCAGATACCCATACAGCTCATCTGTACCCAGAACCTTGGCAATGCGAACAAGCTGAAACAAAAAACAAACTTCCCAAACTACTGAGCACAGAACTCACTGTAAGCCCAGGAAGACACTGTACCGAGGAATTCAATGACTTCCACACCACTGAACTTCAAGGGACCAGATACAGCCACGCATGGGACAGAGAGGTGGCAGACCCAGGGACTGGGACTGCACACGAACACAGATTTCAAAACTGCTTTAAAGCAGTAACACAACCTTTGACAGTATTTCTAGAAGTTGACTAGAATCTACTTTTATTAAATAAGGAGGTGCCTGACTTACTCACAGATTCACTCTGGAAGTTAGGCATAAAATAACATTATGTGTCTCTACCTTTGGGGACCTGGAAAGCACAGACAAAATTTTATGAAATTCTTTACCCTGACGAAAAGCTTATTTGTAGACACTGAGTGATGTTTCATGGCTCAAGGAGAGCAGCCCTAACAAAGGATGCTATTTTCTTGGCATTTGCCCCCACATGGGTAAGAGCCAGTTGGTGTTTGCTTACCTGGTCGTAGTTGTCCTGTCCATGGAAGAAGGGTTCCTTTCTAAAGATCATGCTTGCTAACATACAGCCCAAACTCCACATGTCCAGGCTATAATCATACATCTGAGGAAATACAAACAATTAGTCAGTGAAAGGTGTTGCACTTTCTTCTGAGTTTCTAGTCTTCAGCTGACCTTTTCAGTTATTTCAGAAATTAAAGCCAAAAGAAAAAAAGCAGCTGAGGAAAATCTGAAACTATCATCTGTGGTGGAATAAAGACTAAGTTTTGAATGTATCCAAATTGACTAAAAAGAGCAAACCAGGACAAACCCCAGAGAAACATAAAAAGAACCCAGAGGTACTTTGCTCACAATTTTACCTGATAGTCCACAAGGAGCTCTGGTCCCTTGAAGTACCTCGAGGCTACACGGACATTGTACTCCTGAGCAGGATGATAGAACTCTGCCAGACCCCAGTCTATCAGTCGCAGCTATAAATACAACAGGAATAAAACACGTGAAAGGAGCGTTTCTAGATGCCTGTGCCTTGAACAAGGCTGCATGACATTAGATAACAATTATTTGGCCACATAAAAAATATTGCAAGTGCACTGGCAAAAAATTAAACTTCCAGCAATGGCATAAGAGGTCATTTCTAGAACAGAGCACTTGGAATCTTCTCATTTCCTTTCTCTTTTTAACAATTTAAATTACCTTGACTTACCATTTTGTTTAGATCAATAAAACTTAAGCTTTTGTTCTGCTTCCATACCACGTATACGCATAACACATTCTCCATTCATTATTTGTTTCCATTAGTGGTAACTGAAAGGGCTGGGGTCACAGGCCCACTGCAGGACCGAAGCACTGCTCTAGCTCATCATTAATTCAGTACCAGTCAATTCATTTACTCACCCATCAGGACAAGAACTGGATACTGAAAATAAGAGGGACAGACCTAAGCATACTTTAAGGCCAGGCAGATTGGTCTGAGGGTCATTAAGAAAAGTAGAAACCGTCAGCTATAGTTTCTTCCATGAGGCCCTCTGGAAAATCACGCCCAAAATAAATGAGCGACTACAGTTAGGATCAGCCATCTACTTTCCTCGTGTACTATGTTTATCAAAGTAGACCCCAACACGGACACTGGAGGAGTAACTAACACAAGTCTGCCAAACCAAACAGCACAGGACTCCAGAAACCACCTAGGTAATGACCAGGGCTTTGGTCCGCCCTAAGCCTTCCAGTGAAAGGCTTGCCACTGCCTGGCTGTAATGGTACCTTTTTCTGTTGGTGATCTATCATGACATTGTGAGGTTTCACATCCCTGTGCATGATTCCCTTGCTGTGGCAGTAATCCAGAGCCTATTAGATAAGAAAGCACAGAGAAAAGTAAGCACACCCTGTACCACCCACCAATGCAAGCATATTCTCCTTATTTGTTTCTAACAGCTTGACTTGAATAGAGTCTCCCAAGGGGCAGTTTACTGCATATAAGAGAATAAATATGCTTCAGAACGTACCCCTTTGCTCTCTGTGCACACTATCCTGGCAGCTGGCAAAAAGGGGCTAACACTCAAGAGTATGATGAATTTTCTTAAAAAGGGGAGACTGATACACTTCATTAGGCACCCCTTTCCTACTTGTAAATAGTAGTATTTTATCAGTCACCTGAATTTAGAAATCACACATTAATTTGTTGCTCTAATTTGACATATTTAAAACCAACCTCACTGGAGTCACCTCTCATAGTGATTCAAATGACATGTAAGAGTCCATGTACACAAGAAGAATGACATCCAAATACATCTTTCAATGTGGCTTGTCTTTTAGGTAAGTGTCCCATGTGGGTTTTCTAGATTAACAAGCATTCTAATATTAGTATTTTTCTTAAAAACAATCCCTGAGCTAGTTAGCCTTTAAGAATCATTATTATTCTAAGGGAGGAAATCATTTTATGCAGTTATTTTAAACAGATCTATCTGTTTAATGCAGATAGGATTTTTAAATGTGCAAGTCAATGATTTTTTAGTAAGTTTATAGTTTGCGACCATCATCACAATCCAGTCTTAGAAATTTTCTATCAACTCGAGAATTTCCCTTAAGCTTGTCTATAGTCAATCCCCACTCAAATCTGCCCACTACCACCTCCTTCCCTCCCCATCACTAATCTGCTACCTGTTGCTACAGATTTGCCTTTTCTGGACATTCATAAAATGAAATAATACAATATACAGTACTCTGTCTATCTTATTTCACTCAGCATAGTGTTTCTGAGATTCATCCACGTTGTTTTTTTCTTGAGTAGTAATCCATTGCTACTAGTTGACATTTGGGTGTTCCCAGTTTTGGGCTATTACGAATAATTCTGCTTAAAACACTCATGAACAAGTCTTTGAGAAGACAGATGCTTTCATTTCTCTTGGGCAGATTCCTAGGGGTGGAAGTTCTGGCCTGTAAGTTTACATTAAACTTTTTAAGAATCTGCTTACTTGTTTACCAAAGTGGCTGCAGCATTTTACACTACCATTAGCAACATATGAGGGTTCCAGTTTCCCTACATCCACACCAACACTTGTCATTGTTCACCTTTTTGTTTACAGCTGTTCTAGTGGGTCTAAACTGGTATCTCATTGTGGTTTTGATTTGTATTTCTCTAAAGTGATCAAGCTGAACATCTTTTCACGTGCTTATTTGCCATCCTCTATCTTCTTTGGACAAATGTGGACCCAATGCTTTTATCCATTTTTTATTTGGATTGTTTTTTGGTTTTTAGATAATATAAAACTGCTCCTCAATCTCCCTTTTTGAACTCAGTAGCTATTTTCTTAAGTTTCATAGTTAGGTCTTCTGGCTTAAAAAGCAATGAAGCCTACATGAGTTCCATGATACACTCCTTGAGTAATAATCACATAGCTATCCATAATCTTATGATTCCTACCATGTGCCTGGTGCTGAGTACGCTTGGTGGAGTTTGAGACAAGACTGAGGTTTCTTAACCTAGGCATGGCTGACATTTTGGACCAACTAAGTCTCTGTGGTAGTGGCCATTCTGTGCATTGCAGGACATTCAGCAGAATCTCTGGCCTCCACCCACTAGATGTCAGTAGCACTCCTCAAATAACCAAAAACTGTTCCAGACATTTCCCAATGTACCCTACAAAGTTGAGTTGGTTTAGAACCACTACTAGGCATCTTTATGTGAGAGAGAATACATAAGCCAGGGAGTAATCTTAGGATCAACATTCCAGGAATAAGCACATTTTCCTTTCCCCAAATACAAAAGAATATAGTGTATGATGCTTTTTATATGATGATCAAGAACAGGTTGAACTACAGTGACAGAAGAACATAATCTTCAGAGGAAGGGATACAGAAGCGAAGGGGGCCAAGAGAGCCTTTTGGGGTATTCACAGTATTCTCTGCCAGCTCTGCCCAGTAGAACTTTCTGCAATGATAGAAATTCCTCTACCTGCATTGGTCCAATATGGTGACCACTAGACACACAAAGCCACTAAGCTCCTGAAATGTGGCTACTGTAACTAAGGAACTGAAATTTTAATTTTACTTAATTAGAATTTAAATAGCTAACTGTGGGCAGCAGCTACAATACTAGACAACATTGTTCTGTGTAGATCTGGGTGAAGGTTTCACCTGTATAAAATCCAAAAGACTGTATATGTATACTTAAGATTTGTTCATTTATGCAAGTCTTACTTCAATTTAATTTTTCTCTTTGTTTGGGTTTACAACAGTTGTAGCAAGATTCCACAGTGGCTCTGTCGCAGTGTCTTATGAAACCAGGGCTCCTGGGGACAGACCTCCCTGAATCTGAATCAGATCTGATGGCGTAAAAACCTCAGTGAGTCACCCAGCAATTACTAGGCAGCCCCTCAGCCTCAGTTACTTTACACTTTCAATGAAGTTAAATATTTTCTCTTCCCCATCTCCATTTTTTTCCCCAAAGAGAAAATTTAACAAGTGTTGATTCTATTATTTTGCCTAGTCTTTGCCCAAAGGAATAAGTTAATTAGGCCCACAATACCTAGGATGTGAGAAATACCTGATGAAAGCAAAGACTGAACAAATAAAGGACTTAATTCTTTTGTTAAGTTTACTAGTCAGACTCCCTGTGGAGTTACTAACATGCTTTTAAATTCCTCGGGGAATTATTTATTTGAAATTTGGTAAAGTTTCTGACCATTAAGCATGAAATACATTTTTTCAAGTTTCATTTAGGGTTCTACACCTCATTAGCAGTATGCCCTTGCTGCCTCACTGCTGCCTCCAGAAGGCAGAGAGGACATGAGACATGCCACCCAAATGACCAGCCTGTGAAGACCCGCATCACTGGGGCGTCTCCACCTGATCTAAGAACATGTGCTAGGTTATAAGTCTTCACCTTTGGTGTTCTAGGTAAAAACTACAATCTTATACCTCACTTTAAAACACGACCAGTTTTGAGATTTGGTCTGCAGTGCTCACGGGTGAATGCATGGGATTCTGTCTCCAGGGAAGGGGCTGGCCTGACAGTAGACAGCACCACAGCCCCGTGAACCTCCTCCAAACTGAGGCCTTCGATTCTATTCTGGAGAGAACATGGAAGACAGTGGCAAAAATCAAGCTCTACCTCCTTCATCTCTGATCTTACTGACAAAAGAAAGATTCATCAGCCATGAGTGAAACCTTAAATCTACTACTTCAGCTCTAATGACAGAAAGCAACACAGGGAAACACATTCACTTCACAGTTCTTCAAATCTTCATTCCCCGAAGCTTAGCCTTAATTTAACTTTTTTTTTTGTTCAAGTAACTGTTCACAATCCCACCAAAACTACATCTCGGCAATTTTCTTCAATAAAGCCAATACTTCAGTCACCTCTATATTCTTTCAGAGGTTCTTAAACTGAGATCCACACTGCCCCCCAAAACTTTATGTATTATATATTTACACATGCATTTGGGGAGCATGGTTTCATAGCTTTCGTAAGATCCTTAGTGTTCCATGACCCTCCAAACCTTAGGAACCACTGGTCTATTCCATTCTGCAAACCTTTTTAGAATTTTTTACCTAAACTGAAAAAAGGTCATTCTTTTTCAATCAGTACACTTCAAAAAAAATGGCTACCCAGTACACCTCTCCCTGCATGTTAAGGTTCACTAGTCATAGCTAGAAGGGTAGGCCAGAGAGTAAATTGAGAAGGGGGTTATGAGAGATGGCAAGCAGATGGCCACAAATTCACATCCCTCTACAATGTGACTTTAATGCTCTGCCCATCCAGAGGTGGAGCCTTACTTCTCCATCCTTTGAATCTAGGCTTGGACATGTGACTTGCTTTGGCCAATATGATATAAGCAGAGGCTTGAAAAGTGCTTACACACTGAAGTTCACCCTCTCTTGCTGCTAGGAATTCTGAGACCATCATGGAAAGCAGCCCAGACCAACCTCCTAGAGGATGAGACCTCAGCTATTCCAGGTGCCATCCCGATTATGTGAATGAGGCCATCCAGGACCATCTTGCCCAGGCAAGTTGACCCAAACCAAAAGAGTCACCCAGCTAACCCTACAGAATTGTGAGAACTAATACTTCATTTTTAAAAAACCATTAAATTGGAGGAGATTTGTCATATAGTAAAAAACTAATAGTAAGTATTAATTAAGCAGCAAAAAGAAAATCCAAGGGCCAATATGAGCTATGAAGAGGAGGGTTCTAATCTCTGGTATAATGTCCCTGGTTCCCCTTGACCAGGCCATCTTTCTCAGTTCCAGTGGGTAGTTTTCATGTAAAGATCCCATAGTGGAGGCCGCAATATAAGTAAAAAAACCCTCACTAAATTCTCTGGGTATCAAAAAATGTTCTACCTTAGTTTTCTTTGTCAATGAATAAGCTTCTCTCTGTCCTTCAATGAGTAAGTCTGAAAAAATTCACTGTTTATGAATACCACTTACCTTAAGTAGTTCATACATATAAAACCGGATATCAAAGTCTGTCAGGATCTGGTAAAGTTGCTGAAAGAGATTTCACAAAACAGAAAGTTAATTTAGTCTCAATGCATGCTGTCACCCCAAATTTTGGTCATTATCCCCTGTAAACTTAGTACTTAAGTCACTAAAGAATCCCAGGGCTTTTTACTACCTGATCTGGAACAAATGGGGACAAACTCTAAAGCCAAGGGTCTAATACTTCAGCCTTCAGAATTGAAAAAAAAGGATCTCCAAGGGAGAAAAACATTTAGGCCAACTTGGATTTTTAAAAAACTGTTTAATGTTCCATGATTTCAACACCCACAATCACATTATTATAGAGAAAAAGCCTAAGTTTCCCACTGTCCTCATCTGCACTGCACTTCCAGCCAGCCAGCCCCCCGGAGTGCCACAGCACAGAAAACTAGGTTCCAAGTGGGGAGTGGACCTTGACAAACTCCATCAGCCCAGGTGGTAAAACAATGGCAAGACAGTCTGTTTGTGAAAGAAACAAGAGGAAAATGAACTGCTACAGCACTTGGAGATGGTAAGAAACTTAAAAATCTACTCTCTCCACACCGCCATACCAATCCTATGCTGGAAGAAAGAACACTCCACAGGCAACAACTGAGGGGACCCAAAGAAGTCACACATTTTAGCAAAAGAAAAAAAAGGGGTAGAATGAGATGTTAAAAAAAAAAAACACACACACAAAGAAGGTAACACGTACTGAAAATGATGCTAGTCCAGGCTGACATACAAATGAAAGTTTTCATTATTAATAATCCAAAGACCCACCCACTGAAGAGTTTTTCTAAAAGGGAGACTGATTTACAGATCTAGGTTCATTAAAATCACAAACTCGTGTCAGAAACCATACTACTAGTTTTGATAATCAATTTCAAGTAAATATCTTCCCCCACCGTCCAAGTGGCACCTTCTGTAAAATTAATCAGCACTTCATTAAACATAACTTGTTTTGGAAAACTCAAGCAATGGATGGACTCTCCCAGGAGCACAGCACAGCATACATAATGTGTCTCCTTATAAGGGGGCAGAGTAAAACTACACATTCATATTTGTATCTGCAAGAAAGAGATTAATAAAAAGTAGTTTCGTGTGTCTCTGTGTGTGAAGGGGATGGACAGCTGAGACACAAGGGGATGTAAGAAACTCTTCACTGCATACCACTTTTTATCTTAGATCCATATAAATATATTACTCTTCAAAACAATTTTAAGAAAAACAACACATTTGCCAACCATCAAATTTAACACTTTCTAATGTCAGGACTTAGTGTCTTCCTCAAATTTCCCCTTTTAGGTAAGAGTAATCCTCCCTCTAGCTTTGTAAGGATATTTTATTTCATCCACCTCAGGCAGTAGCCAGCTCAAAGCAATACAGGAACTGAAACCACAGGCGAGTCCACTGGGGTACCCGGGAGCTGCTCACTACTGGGGGGCTGACCCTGGATGGGACTGAAGCACATTCAGGCACAGTGGCACAAACAAGGCACCACTCTGGCACAGGAGAGATTCAACTGCAAAACAGACACCCAAGTTTTTTGTCCTCCCTCAGCTCTGCACAGCAAGGAAGCCTTCTCAGCCTGTATGTACAGCACAGGCTGAAGATACCACCTCTTTGGGTGTCAATCACCCTCTGAGAATTAAGGAGATCATGCCAGAGACTGCTGAGTTGAACCTCAAGTCAATAAATAGGCCATGAGAATGATAAGAGCATTTCCTAACCCGCAGAGGACTGGAATATTTTATCTTTAGAAAACAAATATGGGCTACTATTTGGACTTTTATTTGTGGAAGGCTTTCCTTGCCTATCCTGTGGTATCTATACCAAGCATCCGTGTAAATGGAGTAAAGCATAAAAATACATGTCCTTGGACTAGCTACAGTATTTCTAGCTGCTCCAACCAGTATCAACCTTACTTTATACAGAACTACTGTATTGAATATAGTTGAATACAGCATCTAGGCCTTAATACCCTTCAAAGTTCCGAATGACAGGCTGACAATCACTCTCATTTCTCAGACGCTCTGGGAAGATCAAATTACATCTGTAACATTTTACAACCTGGGCTTAAAATTCAAGACCTCGCTTCCTCCAACTTTTCCAGCTCTGTCTCCAGTGCAGCCCCCAGAACTTCCTCACTCTGACCAAACAAACCTGTGCTTTGCCACCTCTACTCTTCCCTCTCCAGGATCTCCTCCTTCCTCATAAAATCTAGAATACTCCGCCCCCTCTCGCTTAGCCGAAGAAGGCAAACCCAGCAATCCGGGCTCCACAGAGCTGACAGTGGCCATCTCTTCCTCCGAACCCCCATGCTGTTCACTGCCCTCTGTGGTGTTCACAGGACTCTGACAGGAGCAGCACCCCAGAACTAACACTCCTCACTCTGATATTGAAAGTGACCCAAGTTCTGAAGACAATTTCTCACTCCATTGTGAACAAGAGGCTGCTTCACTTTGCCCACACCCAGAAGTCCCACGCCAGTGTGTCCCTGGCATATTGTGGCATGAACATGATTGGAAAATGTGTGCTGTGGCTGGTGGGGGTCACCAGTTTGGTGATTCAAGATCTCTAAACTTCCCTCCCCCAAGTATGTCAAGGGCCCATCAATCAACTCAGCCTGCATGCTGAAAAAAAGTCCTTGCATGGCAGAACTGCAGAATAACACTCGTTTTATACGCCCCCACCAGGCATGTGGGGTCACTGCTTGCACACAGAAGGCAGTCAATACATATTTGTCTTTTATGATGTTTACCCGTCAGTGGAACAAAATTAAAACTGTTTTCTAAGAAACAGACATACTAAGAGTCCATGACAAATTAGAAGGGAAACTTCACAAGATATCCTTTTCCTTCATTCTTCTTAGCCAGTTATGTAGAGAAATCGTTAACCAACCAACTGCAAAATGCTGGCAGAAAGTTAGCTTTACTTACATTTTCATAAAGTAAGTGACTTATCAAAAACAAAATAAGCCTATGCTTCCCAGATGATTACAAAGATGCTAAGGAAGAAACTACAAAGCCTCACCTGAAAATGTTTCATAAAGAAATGCCATAATTATGTCAGTGATCTATAATAAAAGTAAATTTTGTTCTCCCAATTAAGGACATTTTTTTTTACTTAGTCTGTGAACTAATCCCCTCCACATCAGACTCCAACAGCATTAACAAAGCCTCAAGGTATCAGTGAATCAAGGCCTACCCCTATATGATTTAGAAATCATATGGGTCTACCATTTTCTAAAGATGGAGCCTGTTCGAGATGTTTTATCAATCTTTAAAATGTCCCAATGACATATTTTACCTAAAATGTGTATTCATGTTATTTATACTCTTCCAAAGGCACAGAACACTGAGAAATGTTCCTCAAAAGATCATTTCTACCCCAAAATGGTACCTTACTATTTTGAGAAAATGTTGAGTTTGGGCATTTTCTGTAACTATTCATTCTAATTTTTCCTATTCATTTGTTTGAAGTTTTGTATCATCAAATCAATGTTTGGGAGAATCACTATATATCTTTGATTATCAGTTTGACATACAGGAAGCATAACTGATGATCTCAAGAAGAAACTGACCAAAGCTATAGCTCTACCACAGAGGTAAACATCAAAGGAAAATGAGGAAGGCCACAGGAGATTTCTACTAAATTAACAAGCTTGACATAAAAAATGACCCCATACTGAAGTCACAAAGCAACTGTCAACAAATTCCAAATATCAACATTACATAGATCATGTGCTCTGAACACAGTGCAATCAGGAATCAATAATAAAAGAATAATTTTTTAGAAAAAACAGTGGGTCCTATATCATATATTCACTAATACACAGCTAAAAGAGTCATTCCCATGATAACAGTACTACAACACTTTTGAATAGGGACCCTGCACTTATGGTATATTAGATGACATTATTGTATTAATATTAAATTTCTTAAGTGTACTAATAGTATTGTAGTTATGTAGGAAACATCCTATCTAGTTTCAGTGCTAGCATATTTAGGAGTGAAGTATCATGTCTGCAACTTACTTTAAGATGACTTCAGCAAAAAGAGAGAAGAATAAAGAGGGAGGGTCGGGGAAGGGAAAGAAATAACTGCAAATGTGGCAAAATATTAACAACTGGGAAATCTAGGTGAATAACATAGAGGTATTGATTGTGCCACTCTTTCCAATTGTCAGTAGGTTTAAAATTCTTCAAAGTAAGAAGTTGGAGGAGAAAAATCCAAATTCCCAAGTTTGGAATCTGTAGTTCTAATCTGGAAACTATACAGAAGTTGTTGTTCCATACCTGTGGAATGTAGCTAAAATGGGGCATGGGGTCGTACAGACTTAAAGCCCACCTATTACCAATCAAGACAGACAGAAACAAATCACGTGTGTTGACTTCAACTCTAGGATTTAGGTAGAAAACAATGAAAACTCAAGAAAGAAAATAATTAAGATAGGAGCAGAAACAGAATGAAATAGAATAACTAACAAAAAACAACACCTGAGTAATAAAAACCAGAAGCTAGTTCTTTAGAAGTATTAACAAGAGATCTCTAGCAACAATGATTTTTTAAAAAAGGAGAGAAAAGAGGAAAAAGGCACAAATAACGTAAAAACGAGAAAAGCATAATTACAGACACATTAAAGTTTTAAAGTCTGAATTCTATTAACAACTATTAACAAGTTTATGTGAATAAAATTGAAAGTGGAAAATAGGTATTATCCAAATAAACTCAAGAAGAGAAAAAACGAGGATAAATATTTGACCTATGTGCATGTATGCTGGAACTGCAAAGGGAAAGTCTAAAGACTTTCAAAAAAGTCCTTTCAAAAAGACAGCCACTTAGATAATTCCTATTCCTTTTTTGTATAAACTTTGAGATAACAAAAAGTTTATTTTATGAAGTTAGTATATCAAAATCAGAAGGATTCTACAATAAAAGGAAATTATAGATCAAAATTAATCAACAATTACATCAATAAAAAATACTGACAAGAATGCGCTACAGGCTGTATCACTGTTGATTGACCCCTTGTATTAAACCAGGGACAAACTTTCTCTGGGTGCTAACTTGAAACCAGTGATTAATACACTTTACAGTAAAGTGAAAAAAACAAAAACAAACTTTCCTAATAAGATAGACAAAAGACAAAATAAAAAGCCTGAAAGACACTAGTACATCAAACCACCTGATTTCCCTGTATCTGGTCTGTCATCTGTCTGGAAAAGAAAATAATTTTCTTGTCATGATTTGCATTTTCAAATACGTACTGGCTATCTGATATCTAATGATCTGTTAAGTTGACTAAAACGGCATGGCTCAAACATTCAAAGGGGATCTCCAGTTCAACATGGCAGATCAAGTACATCCTGCCTCTGCTTCTTCCTGAAGCGCCTCTAAAATAACAGTAAAGGGAGCAGGATTAGCTCACTATAACTAAGACAATGGAAGAGAGAATATTTTGAAGCTAGAAAAACAGATGTCCAGCTGACTCACCAGACCAAGAAAAGCTGAGAATTCAACCAACAGTGGAAGAGGTCTGGAAGCAAACCACTGTAAACTGAACTACAGAAAGGTTTAGGAATTGGTAGCCCCACGTACAAAGGAAAGAGGGTGAACAGACTGAGGTAAAAACAGGAAAACAAGTTTAAAACACCATACTGAAAACGGGGGAACTAAGTGAAAGGTTACACGACACTCCCCATCATTCTCTGCAAGTTAAGCTACTGAGATGCCCACAGACAGGCCTGCATCCTCCAGACAGGAGCTGACAAGCAATCAGTAATTTCATTACTCTAAAATAACAGTAGATACTAAAAAAACCATAACATCTCAGACAACTTTAACAGAGACAAAAACCAAAACACACACGAAAAATGAATTTGGGAGAAAAAGAGAAAAAGCGTGAAGAAGGAACCATAATGGGAAAAACCCCACATATTCTCAATGAGAAAATAGAAGATATTACATAAAACATAAAGAACAGGAGACTACTTTCAAGAGATCAGAGAACAAAACAGAGCTCTAAGACACGAAACCTAACATTCAAATGAGTTCTAGAAAGGTAAGAAAATCAAAGAACATTAAAAATATTTTTCCCAAACAGAAGGACATGAGTTTCTAGATTGAAAAAGCCCAGCAAGTAACCAGAACAAAAGATGAACACGACCCAATTTTAAGGCACATCATTATGAAATTTCAGAGACTGAGACTGAAAAGAAGAAAAAAAACAAAACCAAAACCAGACCACATAAGATGAAACCAGGGTGGCTTCACTGGCAATAGTGGGACAAGCTCTTCAAAATTCTGAGGAAATGAATTACAACCTAGAATTCTATGCCATAGCAAATACATTGTTAGGAAGATAAAATAAAGATGTTTTTGGATATGCCTCAAAAACCTAATTTCCCATGTTCTTTTTCAATGAAGCACCTACAGAATCTATGTCATCAAAACATCCCTTTGAGGGTTAAGACCTGAGAAGACAGATTTCTCTAGGGAATTAAAAATTCCTGCCAACTGATCTGCATGTTGTTAAATCAACAGAGCAGTTGTCAATTTAAAAGAACAGGAAATGCTTAAGTGAAATTTTTCAGGTGTGGCTAGACAACTGGTAAAAACTCACTGAGGAAGCAGAGGCATTTAAAACTTAAGGATTTCACTAAGAAGTTTCATTAAGACCAGCTTTTAAACTTATTAGGAAAATGTTTGGCTTCATTAAAGCCCGTTTATTTCTTTAGAAATGCATACATATACACTTTTATAAACCTAGGTCACTCATGGCAAAAGTGGGATCACCTACATATATCAGCCCAGTATTCCACTAGCTAAGCTATACTAATGAAAAAATTTACATCCTACTTTTCAGTGTTCGCTATTGATTTCACCTTTAAGGAGTCACATCAACAAGAAAACTTGCTACATATGGGAAAAGCTATACAGTACATAAAACTTGCTTATTGTTTTTTAAGTTATAATATCCTTTTATTTTTCACTAAATAATCTTAGAGTTGTTTTAGAGTGATTACCTAAGAAAAACTGAATGTGGTCAATTTTGTTTCATCCATAAGCCACCCACTTCCTCACTGCTCATTTGGTTTGCCCCATACTTCCTTCACAACAAAATCACAAACCTTCTATTCAGTGACAGTTGTAATCACCCAAAAGTTCTCTAAATGACCCTAAAAATCAACACCATTATTTTTGTTATACTGGTTTTCATATTATGCTCTACCATGTCCAAAAATCTACCTGGCTCCAAAAATCTTATCAGAAGATAAGACTGCAGTGTTGAACAATAAAAACAAAAATTCATGAAAAGCCAGTTTAAAACCATGAGAAGAACCCTTCAAAGAGTAAGTTAATATGCATTATAAGAAATGCAAATAACCCAGGATAGAGCTTTTTTAAAGCACTGACTTTAAACTAGCTTTTATGTCATCTGCTTTGTATGTAAGTATATACAAACACACATTATTTGACAGCTTGAATCCAATGTATTATTTCTTGTCACATGAGCCCTGTATGTGTTTATCATTTCCTATCAGCAATGTACGATTCCTAAAAATCTCACTTAACACCTACCTAAAACTATGTTGTCTGAAATGGGAGTATTTAAGGACATAGCTTAAACCAAACCCAGTAGCCATTCCCAGAATAAACAAGGCAAAGGGTGACGAATTATTTCACCAAATGCAAGGACCTTAATAACTTTCTGCATCCTGTACTCGTGTTATGCAGAATCTAATTTATTTCCCACTTTTACAATGACTTTTCCTGGCACCCTTGTGTTCTGGACTATCCCCACCTCCCCAGCCTCCATTAATTCCATGCCAGAAAAAAAAGTACATACTCACCTTAAAATCTGTATTATTGATATATTCAAATACCAAAGCGGGTGTCTTTGACTGCAAGAGAGAATATTAATGCTTTAAGTATCCAAATAATAAATATAATTAATTAGCTTCTGACATACTGGCCCATCCCCAAATCACACTTATGAAAAAGATTCACTCATCAGGGAAAGCCTATTAAGAAAGTATCCTCTTGAAATTTTTTGTCTGGAATTTGCTTCAAAATAACTGGAGATAGTGGGTGGTGGGGAAGTGAGTGGCTTATAGATTAAACAAAACTGACCACCAGCTGATTAACAGCTAAAGTTGGGTGATGTTTACAGGGAGGTTCATTACATTACTCACTTTACTTTTGCAAATGGCTGAAATTTTTCATAGTGAAGTTTTTTTTTTTAAAGAGAAATGTATTCTCTGACCAACCTATCAGTGGAACTGGTACATTATGTGAAAATTTATACTCTGCACTGTTCCAGTTTGCCAAATACAAAAGGTATGAAGTTTACATCTTGGTTTAGTGAGTGAGATGCATTTTACAGAATTATCATAGGTCTTAGGAATTACAGGTCTTTTTAGGTTCCAAAAGAAAGATATCTATGATTATCAGTAAACTATAATGTGATATTATTGCCTTGGCTAGAGACCATTAGAGAATGTCTCAACGATGTGTTCCCAAAAACTCAGAATCAAGCATTTGAAAAGCACTTAATTTCAATACAATGAGTACAAAATGTTCAACATTTCCATGTGTAAATACAGATTTTTTTTGAAATAATGCTAATTGGCAGTAACAGGCTTTCAAAATTGGGAGAAAAACAGGGGCTTCAAGAACTATAGAAAGAAAAAAAAGTCATCTTGGAAATCTTTATGGCTGGGAAGTTTTACTCAAGGAAGGAGGTGAAAGTTACCAAAGCAAAAAGGCCACAGTACCTGCCTGCAGGTTTCTGCTAGAACAAGCAGCAGTCCTGGCAGCAGCCCTGGTCAAAGAATTCCTCACCAGCCCAAAGCTGAAAGGGTTTCATCAAGACCACCAGATCTTTCTACAGTCTTGGAGCAAGCCTGTTCCCCTACAAATTATGGGATGACGGTTCCCTGTTGGTTTTCATCTACTTCAATCTACTTGTGTTACATTTCATGCTTTAAGTAACAAATTATACAAATAGTACATCGAGGATCAGTAACTTAAAATTTAAAAAAAGGGCAAAACAAAGATGTTCCTGGTGTGTAACCTACTGGCTCACACTGTACACCATTTTCAAAGATTATATAGTCCAGAGTTAGTCATTATAAAATCAATCTACGCTGATTGGGCTGGGATATATTTTTAACACCAATTAGATAGAATTTAGCATACAACCATCCCTCTTAGTTTTTACACGGTCCAAAAAGAAAAACTTGCCTTATTCTTCAGTTCACCAATACTGTGTACTCTTGGGCAAATTACTTAACCCCCACAGACTTCAGTTTTCTTATGTGTACAATCTGTCAATGTGGACAATAAAGGCCATCTACCCTACAAGACTGTTGTGAGGATTAAATGACATGATAGTTAAACATTTAGAATAGTGTCTGACACTTAGTAAGCATGCGATGCATGTAAGCTAATATATTATTATGAAGTCGTCTTTACCAGATAGAAGCAAGACTTACTTTTTAAACAAAAAGCTATCATGGGGCAACAGGGAAATACCTGAGGCAGAACAGGTGGAAAACGGAAATGAGATGGCAGTGGTACAAAAAAGCCTTAGCCAGTCATAAACTTAAGGTTAAGCTACTCCCCAAGGACAGAAACCAGAATTAGACAGTACATCTATAATGGATAAAAATTAAACACTTTGAACAAAAAATATTTTAGTTGAATTGGCATATACAATGTGGGTCCTACTGGTAGGTCTGGTATGAGAAACAGCAAGATTGTTTCCTCAAGGGGTCTGTGGGGCTGTAATCTGTTCAGCCCTCTGTGGCAGGTGTCTCTGTGGAGATACTCACGATTTCCTTCTGTAGACCCAGATTTTCCAAAGTCAAGTTTATTTATGTGAGGTACAATATGCTAATTGGCAGTAATAAGCTTTCAAAATTGAGAGAAAAGTAGGTGCTTAAAGGAAATATTCAGCAGACATTTGGGGGCTGAATCAAAATAATGAGATAATAAACCTGGACAAGGATTCTTCTATATACACTTTTAGGTTCCATAAAAGTGGTGGTGGCTATTTTTTCATTAGACCACAATTTCTTCTGGTTTTCAAAACCATTCAGTAGTAAAGACAAATACAATCATCCCCACTATACAATGGTATTTCTCATTATTTTGAGGTTCTATGTATCTCTCATACACACACACACACACTCTCTCTTGCCAAACCATTAGCTACCTACCACGGGGTCCTTCACAGTGTCAATCAGCTTAATGATATTTGTTCCACCACGAAGGTTCTCCAGAATCTTAACCTCTCGTTTTATCTTCTTTTTCTTCACTGGCTTAAATACATAAGAGTAATCAGAAGTGAGACTCCTTTTGAAGTTAATAAATAAAACTTTTAACACAATGTTAACGAATGGATATTGAGTGATCTTGCACTGTGCTATGTTAAAGAGCATGTCTAAATTAGAAGAGGAAAAAAATGAGATAAAATGGGGCCTGCCCACAGGAAGTTAGGATTAAGTTAAATAATTTACAGACTCATATAGCTGATGTGTCAGATCTTTAAGCAGTTACATTTAGGGCACTTAAAAATTTTGAACACCCTTGTCATATTTTAAAAATAAAATGTTTACTAGATAACTGCCAAATGGAAAATGTGATAGCTCTTAACAGCTGTCTATCATGCACTCACAAATGGAAAAACTGAAACAAAATGGTGACACACCTGCTCCTCCAATGAGTTACATGTAATTTTGCTCCAGGAGTAAAGACCAGCTCACTGACATCAAGTTACAAACTTGTTTCTCAGCTGCTGGTTCCCATTTCCTGTCGCCACGCCCATTTCCTTAATATCTAGAATCTGAAATGGCACTAAGCTAGTAAAACTTCCCATCAGATCCCACTCCTAAAGAAAGAGATGATGGATCAGCAAAGGAGAAAACTCATCTCATACACAGCAGTGAATGAAAGCCTTGGCTACCTGCTAACCTTTCAATCTGCTGAAAAGAAAATTTAAAGATCTTAATCAGAAATACTAGCATTATACATGTTATTTCTTATCTCAAATGGGCTAAAGAGTTTGAAGAAGAATGTAGCTCTGGAAAAATAAGCATATCACAATTATGTTTTAGTACTTAGAACAGTAATTGGCACACAGTAAGCATTCAATAAATGTTTACTTTATTATTTTCTGATTTTTCATTGGTAAATCATATTTTATTCTCACAGAATTCCTATGTAGTAGATGCAGCCATGTTGAGCTATGTGCCCAAGGTCACAATGCTAACAGTAAACAGTAGAGGCAGGACTCAAATCTAGACAATCTGACTCCAGGCCTAACTGTTAGCCACTGTGCTTTCATTTCCCCCATGTGGCAACAGGAGAAATGTAACTAAGAAAAGGAGTATCCCATCACTGAGACACTTATGCAAAAGCACAGGCAAAGATAGCCCAAGAATCTGCCATGAAACAAGATTTTAAAAGCCTGTTAAGTATGCAGTGGTGGTGGTGGTGGTAATGGGAAGGGGGGAGATGTGTACATATGCTGGAGAAGCCTTCATCTTTTGTTGGTCACTAAGCTACAGCTTTGAACACACAACAAAACAAGAGGGGAAGAAGACGGTGCCATAGAGCACCTGCCCCACCTGTAACAGGTGCACACTCAGAGACTAGACTCCAGCTGTGTTTCTCTAAATCTGCTGCCACAACCACGTCACTCCACCCTGTCAGGGTGCTCAGTAGGACAGACAGATCTGGCTAATGCATTTCCCCATTTCCACTTAGGAATCTTACAACTTACTCCCTTTTTCATAATTAGGGTGCTCAAACATGAAGTACAACTTGATTAAAAAAATATCCAGAGAAGGACATATTGCAAAAAAACTAGCCTGTAAGCTTCAAAAATGTCAATGTCATGAAACAGACTGAACAACTGTTCCAGATTAGAAAGATATGACAACTGAATGTAACCATGATCTGGTATTTTCTTTTGCTATAAAGAACACTACAAGGACAATTGGCAAATGAGAATGGGATTTGTTGATTAGCTAACAGCACTCTATCAATGTTAATTTCTGATTTTTGATCATGGCATTATGAAGTTGTAGAGGAATTGCCCTTGTTTTTAGGAAATACTAAAGAAGGGATGACTCCATTTACTCTCAAGCACTTCAGAAATGTAAAATAAATGTAATTATCTATGTACATACATACATATGTGTGCATACACACATACGCATATGTGAGAGAAAAGGAAGCAAATGTTAACATTTGAGAAATCTAGATGAAAGATATATAAGAATTCTGAAAACTTTTCTCTAAGTCTGAAATTACATCAAAAAGTTAAAGGCAAATAAAAGCTGGCTATCCTATCTACAAATTCAGCCAATGCTACCAGTACATTCAGTGTAAGAAAATTCTAGAGTTGTCACCCATTACTGAAAAGCAGTTACAGATCTGTGGGAGTGGTAACAAAACCCCACCACCGCCTGAAGCCTATAAACACCAAAAACTTTCCTCTCCCCTAACAGTGAATTAGTACAGAAGAAATCCATTAAGTAAGTTGCTTTTATGACAATGCCCCATATAAAGCCATGCTCTGCTCTCCTGTTATTCAGCAACAGGTCAGGCAGGCACGCTGCTCCTGGACAATCCAGTCAAGATTAAGATATCTTTCATTATGTCTAAAGGTGATGTAAGAGCACATGAAGCATATTTTGCTGCCCAACTGTCACCTGTCCAACAACTTCCACTGCTACAGACTGGTGACAGCAGGGCAATTCTGAAGTGGCACAATGTGTGAGCACAGCAGCTAGTCTCACACACTCACTGAAGACCAAGAAATTGTGCAAATGGAAAGGGACCTACAGCCCAGGAAACACCCTCCAACACATGGGCACCTATTCTCTACAGGAACCAGGCTATAGGTAATTCCTTTTAGCTCAAGCTTATTCCCCTTAACCTGGGAGGCACTCCCAAAGATAAAAAAAACCAATGAGCTTCCAGAGAATGAAAGTGACCATTTTAATTCTATAAACAGAACTGGAGAGAAAAGGTTAGGCTTTATAAGGGAGGACTCTTGGCATCCTAAGGAAAACAGATCATGAACTTTACAGAAATGAGGATGCTTTGATCCCCTAGCTCATTGTTTGCATTCGTTCATGACCAGTTACACAAAGTGCAGAAAGTAACACACTTTCATGAGAATCACATCATTTCCTCTTGCATGCTAGAAAAAGTCTCTCCCACTTAAGGTTGGTGTATTCCAATTCAGAGAGTAGCTGTTTAAAAGCTTCTAACTGAATCAGTTCAGTTGTTTTCCACACCAAAAAAAATTTTTTACTCCAAGTCTAGTATATAAAATGGCAAAAGCAAAAAAAAAGAAAGTATTAAATTAAGTTTCAATAATAAACTCAATTATGCACACACCTAGAAAGAATATTTAAAGGAAAAAAACTTCTTTAAAATTTTCTGTGTATGAACTCAGGAAAGGAAGAAAAGGCAAACAGGGAGGGCGAAAAAGAGGGAGGGAAGGAAGGAACTATTCAAGAACTATCTTTCTCCTTTCTCCCTCCCTTTTTCCCCCTTCAGGAAAGGAAGGAAAGAAGGAACTATTCAGAAGGTTTCTGCCCACATGATGAAGAGATCCAGCTATTCAGGAGAACCTTGTTCAACGTATTTCAAAAGTAAGGCACTTCCTTCCTGTTTCCCTATTCACTAACATTAACAAATTTTTAAACAAAAGACAAATTTAGTGATGGGCTGCTTCAAAAGACAAAAGCTGATAAAGTCAGTAATCTGACCTATTTATTTACTCAGAGCTGATTTTTAAAAAGCCAAGTCTGAGGATGACTTCAACTATCAGCATTTAATTGTGACCGAATTTCCAAACTAAGATCTACCAAAGGCATACAAATTATGACCTCAATAAATCCCAGCAAATATTAACAGGCAAAGTCCTATTGTAATTTTTTTCCAAGCACAACTGAATTAATAAATTTAAGGCAAGAAAGCAGAAATATAGCTCAGAACTTTCAAATCTGGGATTACTTATATGCCTCTACCAAATCAACAACTACCCTACCAGGATATTAAGTCCATCACCTGCAACAAACATTACAATGAACATGGTTGCCAGAAATGCAGGCCAGAGTGAGGAAGGAGGTTCAGCCTGGATGATGCCATTTACTTTATTACCTTGGTATCATCTCTAAATCCACTGCATCTGACCCAAATATAAACATTATCTAAGCAATGTTACCTCTTCACAGCAGCTTCTCCCCTAATCTCTCAAGTCTCATCTTTTCAGTTACATTAGCAACTCCTTGAGGGTAACGGTTTAGTCTCAGGATTTAATTTTAAAAAGTGAGGCATACAGCAGGCATTTTGAATCTCATCAAGAAAATAGTACAGCCCTTTCTACTACTGGTTCTGCCCTCTAAAATCACTCACTTGGCCCAACTGAAATATTGTCATTATAACCATATTGTATTGCTTTCTAAGTGCCAGGCACTGTTTGAAGGGCATTTAACAGTACTCTGACTTGAGTACCATTAATACAGCATTACATGAGGACACTGACACAGTTTAAGTCATAGAGCTCAAGGTCAGAGAGTGTTGGAATGAACATCTGAATGCAGGCAGCCTACTTTCCCGCCACTCTCAGGAAAGAAAGCCACTTTGTAGATTACTAAAACACTATCCTCTACCTACCTATGCATCTATCTACATTTCATTTGATTCTCCAAACAACCCTCTAAGTTAAAAGTATACTCATTTTACAGATACAAAAACACTCAAATGGGTATAAATGAGGAAGCTGATTGTAGGACCCAGGTCTTCTTCATGCCACTGAAAGAACTTCCTATACTACACCACCCTGATTATGAGGAGGCAGATCCTAAAATTAGGATCTAGAAACTATCTGAAACAATGCTCTACACATGAAAAAGGGTACTGTGTCAAGATACTCTTTTTACACATAGTTCACTCTCCAATAAATTCTAATACATTAAAGGGATAAAACTGTTAACCCTAAAGTCTGGAAAGTGATCATGATGAACTTAGAGGATATATATAGGTTAAAAAGGTATAAAAAGCACTGGTTATCATGGCTCCCCAGAGAGAAAAGTAATGCTTCACTTATGCATTAAACCTGTTGTGGATACAAATCAGAGAACCCCTGTCTGGGTCCCTAGAGCTCTCTGGGTATTCATTTACTCCACATTTCAACTAGCAGCCCACCAAAGCCAAGAATAACCTAAAAAATCAGGGGAAACAAATTAACTGCATTTGACTTCTGGTGAGTGTTTGTCCATCTTTCCAGAATACTTCAAAAACATCAAGAAGTCAAATATCCAGCAAATGTCCTAACTGTGCTCCTCACATCTACCATGACTCCGCGACAGGAACAGAGGGTCCTAAACCTCACCATGCGCGGTTGAGCAAACTGCAGGCTCTCTCCCTGGGTCTTGGTTTACTGTAAAAAGGGGCTTGAGCTCTAATGATGTCTATGCTCCCATATTCTGTGATTCTGTTTCACACAAGTTAACCACAATTTCAATATCTGTCCCCATAACCACATTAGAAACAACACTGACTAGTTCACAATTTTTAAAATTTATATTACTTTTAATGTTACTAAAACTTTAAAAACACTGTTTCAACTTTTTTAACATGAGACATTTCTGAAAACTATGAATCACAAAGAAATTAAGGTAAGTTAATACTAACATCTTGCTTCATGAAGTTGTTGTCTTGGTATACTTGCTAACAAAGTAAACAGAGGGTTAAAGAACCCTACCACCTGAGAAAGTAGAAATAGAGAAAGCACTGCGCCAGCAGGCAGCGAACATTACCAGCTCAGTCGTCAGCTCACTATGCAGTACCCGGCAAGGACCTGTAATCAACAGCCATCTCAGCCTTCTTTCGACACTAACTCCTGACAGCTAAGAAATATATAAAAATATGCTAAACATGCTTTAAATATATACCCATATTGCCATCATTCTTTGTTTTAAGCTAGAGAAGTAATTCCTGGGAAAAATTTAGGGGATAGCCAAGCTCTTTATAAAATAAGACTATCAGCAAGAAGCCTTATGTGAGAATTTCCAAGTCACTGGAGCATAGGTTCAAAACACTACATTTCTTTTTTTTTAAATGGTATAGCTCTTAACATCTATTTAGGAAATAGCAGTTTAACTTGAAGGATCCCCAGAACCCCAGAAAGGGCTGAAATCCATACAGAAGTGATGCTCACAAATTGCTCAAAGTTGTTCAAAATGGCCAAATACTTTTATTTCTGTGGATACCTTCCTAAGAAGCACTACAAACTGAAAAACAGACTTTTCGAGTCCATAGATGAAACTTTAGGCACTAAAGTAGATTTCCACCCTGCTGCATTAACTCTTACACCCCGACCCCTGCCAATTTTTTCTCTTCAAAACAATTTCTATCAAAAAAGACACACACTCCCCATTGATTGTGAAGTTCTCTTTTAAGATTTTAACCTCAGAATGTCACTTCAGGATAGACAGTAACAATTTGCTTACCAATTTATAAATTCCTAAAACCTTTTAATAGCCCCAGTATGTTATGGTCAAAAAATTTTTTTAAATATACTCATGAAAATTAAATGATATAAAGTTCCTCTGTGGTCATTCATCATCTAACCATTCTCATATACTGGAAAAGACTGAATGAAAATTATTCACCATAAAAGAAGACACCCCTGACCTCAAGGAATGTACCCTCTATCTTGGTCTCTAAGTGCACACTGATACTTAAATTCCTTCCTGCAGTTGAAATACAGTCAGCCTATATGAAAAGGAAGCTTTCCTAGATTCCTGCAAATTACAAGCAGCTGGTACTCTCTAAGGACCTAATTTCCTACGACCAAACATGACAACAGCAGATACTAGTCATAACTTCAACTTGTCTGAATAGGGGTGCACAACTCTGGATAAAGACCCTGGTTCTTTTTAAAAAACAATACTTTTAATCTACTTTAATTCAGCCTGTCAGAACAATAAGAAAAATACACTACCCTTAGTAGTTTCTTACACCATCCTTCAGATAGAACAAAATATGGATAGAAATGCTACACGGCTTTGAGAAACAAGAGTGTAGTGTTCACCAGTGGAAACAAGGTGTTCAGGCCACACCCTGAAAAGAATTTGTGTCGAGAAGACACAAAAAACAACACTTTACCTGGAGGATCAACGGGGCCTCCCAAATCTTAATTCCAGAACACTGGAACTTACTCCATGCTCAATGGTAAGATCTTACAATCCACTGCTAAAATGAGCAGTACAAGACAGGAAGAAATAGGAAAAATAGGAATTCTGGCTAAGCATCATTTCAACATAATGATGGTAGACAAATTTCTTTGTGCCTAGTTTCTAGTCCATGAAAATAACCTTCAGCTTCCATATGTGGGTTCCCTAAACATATCCTGCTAATCTTTAGAGCAGGAGAATAACTGTCCAACTATCAATGCTCTGACGTTGTTTAGACAGAAAACCAAAGGGGGTTATGATGCTTTCCTATGTGAACATACTGAACACCTGGATGCTGTTCCTTTCAAAAAAGACACCTCAGGAAGTTGCACACTTGTCTTAAAAATGCCATCACACAAAAGTTTTAGACATTTTTCTGAAATTGCTTTAGAGTCAGCAGTTCATTTTTCTGAATGTACAGCAGTGGAGTATGGATATTCCTAATTTCAATTTACATCTTGCTCAGTTTCTGGGAAGAGTGTAAACAGCTTATATTAAAAGCATTTATGCTTATGTTTAAAGGAAAAAATTGTATGGATTCCTCTGGTGACTTCTCTGAAGAAAACTTTTTCTTTAAATATTTATGCTTATAAAGAAAAAACAAGACCATGTGACTTTATAGGTGCAATTCATATTTAGAGAGGAAGGGAGTCAAACTCCAATCTTCAATGCCGGTTGCTCACTTGTCACTGGTGATTCTGACAGCACAAGTAACCTTGCCTACTTCTCTCTACTGCAGTTCTGCTTCTTCGTCACTAGGCGAGGATGGAACTAAGTAATATAGAGTTGACCACTTTTCTGAAAGGTGACTTTCAGACAGTGTAAGCCAGACCCCTTATATTAAACAAGAATACAACTGCCCTAACTCCATCCTTAAGACACAAAAAAACAGTTTTTTTAACCCTACATTCTTATTAACAGCCTCTGCAAAATGGCTTGTATATATAAAAAGTACTTATATTAATTACTGCATGGTCTTCTCAATATTTCACTGACATGCATACACATTAAATGACCTGTAAGTACCATTTGACAGATTCTAAGAATTATTTTTAGTATACCCTATAAAACATTATTACAGCTACACAGTGACTTGAAGGACAACTTAGTCAAATCTTCATACTCATTAAGATCATGTCTTCATCCAACAGATGACAAAAGGCTTTCTTTATCAAACTCAGGCTCCTAAAGAAGACATTGACTGTTTTGTTGCAATTATTATTTTATCCACTATAACTGTATTCTTCTACTGCTCCCTATTTCACTTTTACTAGCTGAAAAGCAACATGAACCTTCCTGGCACTACTGGTTCACTATATCCACCTTACCTGCAACTTTTATCACCAAAGGGGTACAAACAAATGACTCTCCACTGAGGTGTTTCCCTCCACTCAGGCTCCAAATTCATCTTTAAGGCTGTTCCAGTTTTTCCCAACTTTTCTTTCTGGAACAACTTAGAGCACCAAGAGGTAACAAACTCAGTGCTCAAGGGGCCCTTGGTTTGATGGGATCGTCATGAAGTAGCTTTTCTTTCTTCTGAATACTTACTCATTTTGTAACAAATGAAGTCCATTTGGAATTTTTATTTTAGGAACCCATAATCGAAAAAGGCAGACAATTTTATTTTAATAACAAGTATATTCCTGAAATACCATCCTTAGATTTGGAACAGGTCTATACATTTCCTCAAAAGTTCACAGGAAAATAGGGTCTGAGAAGGGGTAGTGGGAGGGACATCAGACAAAAGCTATGTAAAATAAGAGCCTGCACTATTCATTCTGTTCATTCTACAATGTGGCAGAAGTAGTTTATATCCACCCAACCTGTGAAAAAAAAAATTAAAGCCACTCATAAGACACTCACCTTGAGAATTTTTACAACCACTCTCTCATTGTTAGTGATGTTAATGGCCTCAAATACTTCACTATACTTTCCCCGACCAAGTTTTCGAACCAGTTGGTAATCATCTTGATTACTGTAAAGGCAAGAGTGACACATAAATGCCAGGATTTGGGATTAACCAAGCCTATGCCCACTATACCTTCCTCCAGCCGCTTCCATTAATCAAGCACTTGGAAGTGTCTATACATCACGCCACAACTCATTCCCTAAATGAAAGGCACAACATAAACTTGGCTCCTTTCGCTCTGCACACAGCTCCTAACCTAACTGGTCTCTCCTAACTTGGGGAGATGAGGTAGAAAGGCACTGCTCTGAGACGACCTAGAGGGGTGGGCAAAGCACCCATCCTGGAGGGCGCCACAACATCTGCCTTACACTTCACACCCGGAAGGTAGACAGCGCCTGCTGAGAATGTGGATGTCTTTAAAAATCTTCCTCCCACCCAGCCTCATTTCAAAAAGCTAAAAAGGCAGACAATTTTAATAGCTCAAGAGGACAGCTGCTGACTTCCCACCCCAATAGAAACCCAAAAGTGCGAGAAGGAAGGGCTGCTCCCTCATTTGCACCAGGCTCTGGTCCCCGGACCCTCAGTTCTCAGTAAGAGAGCATTCCTTGGGGTAAGGGGGAGGAGGGTGCACCAGGCGAGGAGAAAGGGAAGAAAAGGGCGGCGGGTGGGGTGGGGGAGATGAGGGCAAATGCAAAAGAGAAGACTCCTGCCTCCGACCCCAGACCCAAGGAGGCCCAGCGGAGGCGGAGGGCGGCTTGCGCTGGGGGGCGGCCGGGAGGGCAGGGCAGGGGAGGGGGTAAGAGGGCTCGGCGGCGGGGGGAGGGGAGCGGCGGCGGCTTTACCCCCAGCTTGGGACGTAAGCCTCGTAGTCCCAGTACTCGCGGCTCCGCAGGCTGTTCACCTCGGCGTAGACCCGGGCCCTGCTGCCCGCGGCCGGGCCGGGCATGGCGGGTGGGACCGGGGGGCGCCGCGGGGTGCAGAGGGCGGCGGCGGCGCGGCTGGGGGCGCGGGGCGGCGGGCGGAGGAGACGGCGGGCCGCAGGGCGCTGGAGGAGGCGGCGGAGGAGCGCGGCGGAGGACGGCAGCGCCAGGCCGGGCCCGCGGGGGCGGGCGGGCTGGGGGCGCGGGGGGCGCCGGCCGAGCCGGCCCGGCCCTAGAACGGCCCGCGGGGCGGCGAGGCGGCGGGGCGGGCGGCGCTCGTGCTCCGCGGCGGTCTCCGCTCGGTTCGCGGCCCCGAGGCGGCGGGGGCAGCTGCGGCCACACCAGCAGCAGCAGCCGCCAGCCGGGAAAGGGGCAGCGGCGGCGGCGGCGACGAAAGAGGAGGAGGAGGAGGAGAAAACCCGGAAAGGGGCCGCGCTCACCAGGAGCGGCCGCCGCCCGGCCGGGGCCGCCCAGACTCACAGCGCCCCCTGCAGCGCGGGGGGACCGGCCGCGCGGCCCCGGCCCGGCACCGCCCCGCCCCCGGCCCCCCGCCGCCCGAATCCCCGCCCCCGCGCCACCCTCCCTCTCCCAGGTCTGGCGTGACGGCTCCGCGCCGGGCCTCCGCACCCACAGACTGCTGCCTCAGAGCCGTACTCCTCATGGACCCTTTCAGGACTGTCCTGGAGACACCTAGCCCAAGCCCTCCACCCTCTTACTACCCCGAGTTTACCCACACCGTGCTCCCATACTGACCCTGCAATGACCCTCCTGTCACCCAACCTGCTGCCTTCGGTTTCCTCCCCGACGATTGTTATCACTCAGAGCATCCCCTACCTCAAGGTTTCCCCATCCACTCCAGTGACCCTGTCCCCACCCCCTACCCTGCTACCCTGTCACCAATGGACTCCTCAACCTCAAGGCTCCCCCTTCTCTCTTCATCCAGGGTCTTCCTCACAAAACCCCCCCTCTTACACTCCCTCCCAGATTCCTTTGCAGAGGTTCCCGAAGAGCCCTCTGAATGTTCACTTCCCGTACTTGGTTAAGCTGGAGTTGACCAAGTTGCTCACTTCAAGTTCCTATTTTTCCTTTTGTAATTAATAAGCAATCTGTGGGGAGACACTTTGACCCTATGTCAATACCCTGTTTTTGCTTGGGAAGACAGAGAATAGGAGAATTGTGAGAGTCCTGCCTGAAGGGACAGGCTAGGGGTTGGGCATGGACTGAGGGTGGGGTGGCCAACCAAACTTTGGCCTATTTTACTAAATTGCCTTTAGCACTTAACACTTCTCTCTGATCTGGGCTGTTCTTCCGTCTTGGTTTCCTACCCTAGATCCTTTATCAACAGACCTTCCTCACTCAGCCCAGGTTGCTCTGACTCCAATCCTTTTTTACATTCTGTGTTCTAGATGAGACCCTGCTAACTCCTTGACATAATTAAGAGCACAGACAGTGGAGTCAGATCCATGGAGGTTTGAATCTCAGCTCTGTTTACAAGCCGTGTGACTTTGGGTTCATAACTTAACCTCTCTGTGCTGTAGATTTTACAGTATGAAAACAATAATGACCCTATTTCACAGGGCTATGGGAAGAATTAGGCAAGGAAAACCATGTAAAACACTTAAAACCACATTTAGTAGACACTAAGTGCTCAATATTATACTATTACCAGACCCAGGGCCTTTCTCCTGGCACTTTTCCCTCCCTGAGACCACCACACACCCATCTTTCAGTCCCTTCCACCCTCCAAGCTTGGCCAGGGCCACGTCTCCCTTCCCATGCCCGATTCCTTTTCCCTTTTCAAGTCTGACCTTTAAGTTCACTTTCAATGTTAGAGGTGAGACTTTTCTATCTCAGCACCCTATCTACATCCTTGAGAAAACTGCATGTTTTGTACTTACTTGTTTCCTAGGTTTTTGTCTGTCTCCTCCACTGCAAAAACGGCACGAGAGTGAGGACAAGTGTGGATGCTGATTACTGGCTTATCCAGCATTTGTGACATTTAGAGGCTTTCAAGGAATTCAGTGGTACCCCACAGGTCACTTAACTACAATGTGGAGGTCACCACTTCAACCAGGAATTAAACTTACTGTCAATAAGGGATCAACTGACCCTCTGACATGATGCACCAAGAGCCGTGACATCTGCCAAAAATGTTTAACTTGAATCCAATCATGAGGACACAATCGGACAAATCCAAGCTTGGGACTGTTCTGTAAAATAGCTGGTCTGGACTCTTCACAAGTATCACTGTCACAAGGGAAAACAATGCAAAACTCCAAAGTAGTGTTCTTGGTTAAAGGAGCCTGAGGGACATCACTCAGTGAGCTGTGTAATTCTGGACTGGATTCTAGATAGAAAAGACAGGAAGAAAGAAGGCAGGGAGGGAGGGGGAAAGAAGGGGAGGAGAAAGAATACAGCTAAATGGATACTACGGGGACTGTAGGGAAAATTTTAATATATATAGACCGTACATCACATAATAGTTTTGAGTTAATGTTAAATTTTGTCACTGTGAGGATTATATTGCAGTTATGCAGGAGAATCTCTTGATTTTAGGAGTTACATGCCAAGTATTTAGGGAGAGAGCATCATGATACCTACAACTTACTCTCAAATGGTTCTCTGGGAAAACGTGGGTTCCTGAAAACACCAGCGTACCCGGGGAGGAGACAGCAGTTAGGGAGAGATGTTGACAGTTGGAGATTGTAGTTGAAGACTAAACGAGCTTGCAACTTTTTGATAAGAGCTGAAAATTTTCTAAACAAAAACTGGAAAAATAAATAAATAAAGCATTCATGGAATAAGTGGTCTTTGGGATTTAATTCCCAAATCTGCAAAACTCTTTAGACCTTGAGAAGATGCATTCTCAAGCTCTTCATGCAGCCTTAGGATTTCTTTCTGACTGGTCTCTGTGAACTAGTCTAGATCAGAGGTTCTTAATTCTGAGTCTTTGGATGAGCTTCCTGTCCACCAGGATCCCTCACACACACTCTGTGCAATAGGATGGTTATTATGTGTGTGTGCATATGTGTACATATTCACATTCTTTCCTTAGCATCCATCAGAATCTCAAAGGAAGCCATGACCCAAAAATGGTTCCAAACCGCTGGTCTAACTACTAGGTCTAACCCTGGCCAAGGCCCCATTTCTCACCTCCACCCTCGCCCACCTCTGACCCCACCCACCCTCCCTGCACCTTACTCCCATCCCTCACCACCTAACCCACATTCATCTCATGTAACCTGGTCCCACACCTGCCGGGATGCCCGAGAAGTCACCCACACATCGCTCTGGTGCAACATGCTCCTGGATTTGGCTGACATCTCACTAACTCAGGCCTGGAACCTGCGATCAGTCCTCCCACAGCCAAATGGAGTATATTTTTATGATTTGGTGGTAGGTAGATTGGACACCCCATGGAATTGGCAGAGACTCACTGCTCTCCTTCCTGCCAGTCTGCCATGCACCCTGCCTGGTGTGAATTAAAACAGGTAACTGGCAATGTTACCAATGCAACCCTCACTGAAGGAGTAAGTTGCACTTGAATGTGGAAAGGGACAGCCACTGGCTCCTCAGGGTTGGGTGACAGGGCAGGGCGGTTCAGTGCCAGGATCAACTTCTAATTACTCTGTATGTGTGAGTTTTGGGGGTGAGTATAATTCAAGGTTTCAAAAGGGGAAATGAAAGATGGCCTCTTGAGTCAAATGACCTAGTAATTTCATATCAACTCCTATGCCCCGGTGTTCTGTCCAAACACCAAAAACAGACATAAAACAAAACTACCCCTGAGACCAAAACCAAACAAAAAATTGAAACTCTTGAAAGAACACCTTCTATCTTCACAAGTCCTATTTCTAAAATATTTGTAAGGTTCACAGGCTTTTATCCTGTATTGCTGGTTCTAAGAACCTAGCCCAAGAAAATAATGTAAATTATGATCAAAGAATTGTTAATAGTGACAATTTGTGTTCAATATTATTGAATCCTGCAAAAACCCTGAGACTAAAAACGATCGAGTTTATACTTTAAGTGGGTGAATTGTATGGTATGTAAATTATATCTCAAGAAAGGTGTTAAGAAAACCCTATGAAATTGGAGCTGTTTTAAGGATCCCCTTTTTTGCAGCCGAGAAAGTTAAGGCTAATGACACTGATGATTAAGGCAGAGGCTGGATTTGAACTCAGGCTTTCTGACAGCCAAGTCCACTTCCTTATTCCCTTTCTGATTCAATATATCCTCCCAGAAGACCCAAAGATGTTCATTATGAAAATCATTGTCTTTAATCATGAAAATGATTAAAACCCAAATATCCCAAATTGGGGGATCAGTTAAATAAGTAGTGGTATTATCTCTACAGTGAAATATTAGGCTTTAAAAATTATGATTATCAGGAATTTTTAGGGATGAGAAAAATTTTATTATTATAATGTTTTTAAATTAGTTTAGAGTTCTTTAAAAGTTACAAAAGTAATTGTGATAAACAGAATAATGCCACCCTCCCTGCCTCATTATTCCCCAGAGACAGCTCCTTCCTAATCTCTGTAACTTGTGAATATGTGAATAAGGAGATTTGCAGATGAGATTAAGAGTTTTGAGATGGGGTGAGGATCATATGGGTCCTTCTAAGTGAAAGAGGGAGGCAGAGAATCAGGAAGTAGATGTGATGGAAGCAGAGGTCAGGATGATGTGATTTCTGGCTTTAAAGAAGGAAAGTGGCCATGAGCTAAGAACTGTAGAAGCAGCCTCTAGAAGCTGGAAAAGACAAGGAAATGGATTCTCACCTAGTCCCTCCATAAGGAATACTACCCTGCCAACATCTTGATTTTAGTCCAATGAGACCCATTTTGGACTTCTGATCTCTTACACTATAAGACAATAACATAGAGTTGTTTTAAGCCACTAAATTTGTGTAATTTGTTACAGCAGCAAGAGGTAATTCATCAATAGGTAGTACATGGTTCCTCCACATTTTTCAAGAAATTCGGAAATCAGCGAGGTAAAAGGGGAAAGGTGTCTCTGTTTACCTTCCACATTCCCACAGTTCACTATATGTCTTTCCAGGCCTCCTTCTTTGCAGTAAAAACAAATACTATAATCTATGTTCTTTCATTTTGCT